TTATACTAATAACTTTACATGTATTATCTCATTTACATACCAATTATTTGAATTGAGTGCTAGTGTGAGCCTGTTTTATGGAAGAGGAAACTGAGGCTTAGAGAGAAGAATAAACTTGCCCAAACATGTACTGCTGCCAAAGGTTGGAGCCAGGGTTTGAACTAAGGTTGTCTGATGCAACATTCTTGCTCTCAACAATTTTACTATAATGCTTCTCTGGCTAGCTTTCATCTGTGAATAGAATTCTCAAAATGCACACCAGAATTATGAGTTTTTCACTGTTTTTAATCTACCTAGAACTTTGCTATCATAGTTTTTAATGTTTATTTATTTTGAGAGAGGGAAGGGAAGGAAGATAACTGTGTGCATGTCCACATGCTCATGCCCTCAAGCAGGGGAGGGACCGAGAGAGAGAGAGAGAGAGAGAGAGAGAGAGAGAGAGAATCTCAAACAGGCTATGCACCATCAGCACAGACACCCAGCATGGGTCTCAAACTCATGAATCGTGAGATCATGACCTGAGCCTAGATCAAGAACCGACTAAGCCACCCAGGCAGCATATTTTTATATAAGAACCAAGTTAAAATATGTGTATCATACTTATGGGTGCACTTTTGACTATATGAATGCAAACTAAAGTTAGCACTTTGCCCAAATGTGAAAACTTACATCAATGCACACTTAAAAATTATAGAATGACGTTTGTCAGGAGAGAAAATGTTATTTTGCATTTTCAGTGTAGTGGTACATTTCAAATGGGATTATAAGAATAGAAGTGGTATCAGCCAGGAAGCAGAAATGACTCTATTTTAAGCACATGGTATTTAGTACAGGGAGTTAGATGCTTACAAAGTTGAAGGTTGCACAAAGAAGTCCTGGACTGGGCCTCTAGGAATAGCTCCCAGAACGACACTGCTGACCTGAGTGTCCTTCCAGGAGACCTGCTCCTGGGTCACAATAAGGAGGGTGAGCAATCAGCAGGCCACCGCTGGTTTTGAGAAAGTTATTACTCTCACGCTGTTCCAGGAATCAGAAAGTGGCCCATACTGCCTCCTGACACCTGTGAAGCTGGGGATGGGACATGAGACGGCAGCTGCTGCAAGGTGCAGGAAGATGCCCTCCGTCACACTGCTGCCTCTGAGATCTAAAACTGGCACGCGGAATTGATGTCTCTAACTTGTACCTAGTGAGGGGTGCAAGGGATGCTGAGAATTCTGGGGTTAGCATCCAGGCTGTGCTGTATAGGAGGGCACCCTGGAAGGTGTTCGGGGACTGAGTGCAGAGCACAGTATCAAATAGCGTAGCGTGGGGCTCCTACAGCAGTGGGGCAGCGCGGGCCGTGTTCCGCTGGCCGGCCACCACCTCAGTAACTGAACGGTGGCCTCCAGTCTTTCCTGGAATGTTGTCTAACACGCCCCATTGGAATTGCTGCAGAAACAGGAACCAAGAGAGAAGAAACTAGCCTGTGGATTTTTAAAAAAATGTCTCAATTATCCCTTGCTAAAAGCTGATTTGTCTCCAGGGGTTACATACTAAATTGATATTACTAGCTGCCCTGATTAAACATGTTTTAAGGCCAAAAAAAAAAAAGCCAAAATTAGCAATGTTCTGGTCTGTGAGTCAAGAGAGACTGGAAAATAATTCAGTATAAAAACACAGGGAAAATGCTTACGCTACAATATTAATTCTAAAGGCATGCAAAACTACAGAGAGATGATCAGAGTATATCATAAAACAATATAATCTTACCAGTAATTAAAGAATAATGAGATACGCTTACCCATCAGATAGGCAAAAATTGAAGTGACAGAAGATATCTAGTGTTTGTGGGAGGAAAGAGGTAGTCTTATGCAATTTAAATCTGAGTGTAAACTGGTTCAGCAGTAGCTTTAATAAAAGCAGGAAACGTGCACATCGTTTAAGACTGTAATACTACATTTAGTTATTGGAGAAAAATGTTCACCCATGTATAAGATGCAGGTACTAAGAATGTTTATGGCCACAGTGTTTATTCTAGCAAAATTGTGAAAGCAATTACCTGGCCATTAAATACAGAGAATAAATAAATTATAATATATTCATATTATGAAGTATTAGGTTGTTTTTAATATGGACAAGATAGACATCTATGTACTGTATTTTCTGTTATGGTGAATAATATGATAGTGTATTATTAAATTTAAAATTGAGACTGGAGCACCTGGGTGGCTCAGTCGGTTAAGCAGACTCTTGATTTTGGCTCAGGTCACCATCTCATGTTTACGAAATCGAGCCCTATGTTGGGCTCTGCGCTGACAGTGTGGAGTCTGCTTGGGATTCACTCCCTTTCTCTCTGCCCCTCCCTGCTTGCATTCTCTAAATAAATAAACTTTAAAAATTAAAATCAATTTCATAATATTAAACCAAGATTTGATCGTTTAAATCCATTTTACCTTATTAAGAATAAAATGCACCAGGTGATTCCTTAATAAGGTAAAATGAATTTTAATTCTCACATTTTATTTATTCTTGTATAATGTAAAAACAGACTGAATAAAAATGTCACCACTTCCTGCAATAATTAATTCATCCATGAGACTATTTTCGCTATTTGCTTTAATCTAAACACAGCTTATGAACTCTCGTTGGGCTTCCAACAGCTCATTATGGTTTTTTATATTGTTCTGTGATCAAATATGTTGAGTAAAGTTGGGTGTAGTATAATTACAAGCCAGCTGTGGAGACTGGTTCTTAAAGGCAAGCATGGATTGTAGTGTCAGATCCTGGAAAGGTGGGGAAAAAAAAAAAAGAGTGGTGCATATTAGTGACTTTTGTATTTGTAAACATTTGCAGAAGAATTTTAAAGCACATAAAATCAAAATCACACTATTCCCAAAGATGGAAATGTCAGCAATATTACTCCTCTTCTGTAGAAAAGATTCCTTCAAAATAACTGTAAAATAAAGTTCTGAGTTTTCATTTTCTGTTTTTGTCACCAAATAAATGTAGAAGATTACGTTTCCCTTTCTCAATGCTAAGGTACTATGACAAGGGTATCAGTAAGTATAATATATAGATTTTTTAAAGCTGTACAGGCATAAAAGGCATATAAATCATTCATACACACACTCAAGAATGAAAATCACGTCAATAAATTCACTTTTTGTGTCAAAAGTAAATTGTACCATGGAAGAGTAAGGAGTTTGAAGACAAGGGATCTGGGTTTTGATTGCGGCCCTAATACTTCTTAATAGTGAGATTTTTTTCAATAAGTTTTTTATCTGACTTGCTGTGAAGAGTAAATGAGTTTACATAATGTAAATTTTAAAAACCTAACACAATGCTGCTATGAATTCATGTCATGAATTTGGCAATGTTGTGAGAGCTGGGTTGTAAGGGGAAAAGATCGGAGGCAATAATAATAATAGGGACTGACTCTCACTTACTGAACCTTTACCATACTAAGGACAGTTTGTAAGTTCTCTAGTTCCTCACATCAGCTCGATGTGGTAAATACTAGGTCAGGTGGAACCATGGAACCATTTCTGTAGGTCAAAAGCCGTCAGTAGTTAGCAATTTCACAGGGCTTAAACTACCATCTGCCCAGACTGGAGAAAGTGAAACAGAGAGACTAAAATAGCCAGTACCTGGTAAAGTCAGGTTTGCAAGCCAATACAGGTTTTCGTCTGTAACCAAAATGCTATATAAATTCCTAGCAAGAAAGCAGGTCTAATAGTTTAGGAGGTATAACCTCTAAGTCTTAATCAAGACTTATTTGGATGATATTAGAGAATATACAGGAAGTCAAGAAATGATGCCACAGCAAATTAACAGAAGAATCAAATGTTTACAGGGGCACCTGGGTGGCTGAAGGCATGATCTCACAGTTCATGGGTTCCAGCCCCGGTCCAGCTCTGTGCTGACAAGTGGAACCCGGAGCCTGCTTCAGATTCTGTGTCTCCTTCTCTCTCTGCCCCTCCCCCGCTCGTGCTCTGTCTCAAAATGTAAATAATAAAAAAAATGTTTAAAGAATCAAATGTTTACATTAATTAAAATATTCCATGCTTGCTTCTGCTTCTGGAATTATCCTTCTTTTCGATGAATTCTTGCTTTCATTCGGCCAAAAATTACTCAGAATCAGGCTCAATCTCTAACCTCCTGCTACGAGCTTCTTTCCACGTCCCTCTAAATTTTTACCAACTGGAATTTATCTCTATTTTATAATAGAATTTTGCCTTTAATATATCCGATTGCTCTTAGCTTAAGTGTTTTTGAGGAAAGCTCAATAAATGCTCACTTTGAGGTTCATACCAAGTCGGCTACATATGAAATTTAATAGGAGTAAAAGAATCACAACCATCTCTCAGTGAATGGCTGATGAAATTTTCCCTGACCTCACCGGTTGAAGTGTTGACTGTGAACTCATCTGGAAACTGTCCTACGCTACCTTTTCATATGCTTAGGCCTTGTCTTTGGAACTAGAGTTTTAGCATCTCAAAGGCAAAGATTAAATTTTACTCTTTGACTTCACACTGTCCAGCAAAGTGTGTAAATCAAGAGATCTTAATGAAGAAACACCCGCAGTTTGGGGGTGGGGGAAGGCCTTAAGAAAGAAAATGAACTAAGAGGGTGGAAAAGCAAAGAAGGGGAACTTTGCCTTAACACCTACTTTTGGGAACTAAAAGCAATTAGCGTTTCAAAACCTTGGTAGGTGCTTTCGCTGTCTTTTTAAGGAGGTGGAAGCCGATCACCAGCGCGACCGCCCATTGGCTGGGAGGCGAAGCCGCGAGCGCCGCTGGCGACGCTAGGTGGAGGGGGCACCGGCCGGCGCTCCGTCCTCTGACCGGCAGGGGGAGCCCTGCCGAGCGCCGGGTCCCGCCCCGCCCCGCCCCACGCGCCCCGCGCGCCCAGCGCTCTCTGCGCCGCGCACCCGCCCGCCGCCACGCCCGCCACAGGCCAAGGGCCAGTCACCCGGGGCAGGCGTCCCGCAGCCTAATCGTCGCCCCGCCCCGCCCGGCCCCGCCACGGGACGGGTAACGGTTACCAAGCACTTTCTCAGCCGCGATTTCTGCTTAGTCATTGTCTTCCAGGAAACGGTCCCTTCAGTTGGGAGTCAACTCTGAGGCGGCAGCCACAGTATCAGCAGCCGCAGCCGCCGGCGCGTCCTTCCCGGGCCGCCGCTCCGCCACCGTCCGGCCTCCCTCAGTCCCGAGCGCAGGCCGGGGTCCCGCCGCGTGGGGCCGGCAGCCTCGCGCCCGGCTCTCCTGCCTCGGGCACCGCGTCCTGCGGGGCGGCCTCCTTCCTCGCCCGCGGCCCCGTCGCCGCCTGGCCCCCTCGGTCGGCCGCTGCCATGGGCACCGACAGCCGCGCGGCCGGGGCGCTGCTGGCGCGGGCCCGCACCCTGCACCTGCAGACAGGGAACCTGCTGAACTGGGGCCGCCTGCGGAAGAAATGCCCGTCCACGCACAGCGAGGAGGTGAGCGCCGCGGAGCTCCCGGGGCAGGCCGCCGGCCCGGCTGCTCCGAGCGGGAGGCAGCGGCCGGGGGGCGGGGGGGGGGGGCGGCTCAGGCCGCTGGGGCTACGACGTCGCCCCCAAACCTGCTGCCCTGGAGCCGCGCGTCTTCAAAACACTCGGCAGGTGCAACTTCACCGGGAGAGACGCCTCTGCCCGTGCTTCCAGCCGACGGCCGAACTCTCGAACGTACCGGCCCGCTCCTCTTCGCTGGGGGGGGGGGGGGGGGGGGGGGGAGCGTGCAGAGAGGGCCAGTCCCTCGCTCCCACCCTCTCCCGGCCTCCTGGCCCCTTTCCTCCTCCCCCACCCCGCGGCCAGGTGAAGACAGTGTAGACTCGCTTTTGCAGCGTTCAGGTGAAGGTAGCAGTAGATAATCCACTTAGCTCGGAGGCTGTGGACAGGCGTTTCTAATGAGGTATGGATTTCTTTCTCGCCCAAGATGAATCTCCCTCATTTGATTTGCCCGAAGACGAATCGCTCGTTTGCAGTGGCACAGATCACTCCGGAGTCAGGCGCGTGTTAGGTGTCGGGTGCTGGTCATTCCCGCGTGGAGAGTCCGTGTGCGCAGCCCAGTGCGGAGGCATATAGGTGGGGTGGCACCGTTTTCGTATTGAGGAGCAACCGTAAATAAAACAAACCTTTAATTCAAGAGCTGTGTGACTTTGGGAAAGTTACCTTCTCCGAGTCTGTCTCCACGGCTGTGAAGTTGGATAATGACACGGTCTTGATCAACCCGCCATGAGCATTCAAAGAACTAATACAGGAAAACGTTCGCCAGGCAGGCACTTCGCTCCCTTTTTATCTATCAGAAGATAAAACAAAGTTTGATTAAAAGAAAAAATGCCCTGTGTCATATTAGGACGCTATCAGCTGTATGCCTAGGCAGTTTTTGCTCTTTTATAGAAGATGCTGGTGATCTGTCTGTGCAGGAGCACATCTGCGTATCTCTGGGCCTGTGCCCAGGAATGGTGTTGGGAGTGAGCACCCATCACTGGGTTGTAACTTTAATAGGAATCAAAGTCCGCCCCATATTCTGTGGCCAGATTCCATCCACCTCAGTGTGTATACTTTTTTCTGTTTAAACCGCCCCGCCTAGACCATTTCTACCCCAAATAAATGTTTCGGTATTTAGTTCTAGTCCCTTAATTTCCTCCCAGCGCTGCTGGTTCAATACACCATTTTCCATGTGTATTAACAATATTGGGTGAAACTTCTGCTCTCTTATCTCACTGCAACACCCTCTAAAGTAGTGGCCTTCAGAGTTTTTTTTGACTGCAAGCCCAGTAAGAAATTTTACCTTGCAATCGTGTTCATAGTCCATAAGGTCGGTAAGGACAGAAAGTGGGATGAGCGGTTGCCTGGGGCTGGGGTAGGAATGGGTAGTGACTGCTAGTGGGCACATGGAGATGTTCTAAAATTGGATTTGGTGATGCTCCCCAACTTTGTAAAACTCTGCGCAGATTCTCTAAAAATCATTGAATTGTGTGCTTAAAATGAGTGAATTTTATTGTATGTAAATTATACTTCAATATAGCTGTTAAAAAGTCTTTCAGAGGTTTTACGAAGATATTAACCTTTAGTATATACTGTGTATTCTGATTTTTTTGGTCTTATTTCTTAATGTAACAAGTCACACTCCACACTTTTTTTTTTTTTTTTTAAGTTTATTTATTTTTGAGAGAGAGAGAAATCGTGAGTGCGGGAGGGGCAGAGAGAGAGAATCCCAGGCAGGCTCTGTCTGACTCAGGGCTTGAATTCACGGACTGTGAGATCATGACCTGAGCTGAAGTCAGAACTTAACCACTGAGGCCACCCAGGTGGCCCCTACACTATTTCTGTATTTTATTTTACTTTATTTTATTAGGTTTATTTATTTATTTTGAGAGAGAGTTGTGGGGGGAGAGGGAGAGAGAGAATCCCAAGCAGGCTTCTCACTGTCAGTGCAGAGCTGGAGGTGAGGCTCGAACTCACAGACTGGGAGATCATGACCCGAGCAAACATCAAGAAGCGGAAATCAAGAGTAGGAAGCTTAACTGAAGGAGCCACCTCTGCACCCTACACTTTTTATTCCTTAATGTAACAAGTCATACTCCACAGTTTGGAAAACATTGTTCAAAGGACTAATTCTGGTTTGTGTGTTTTATTTTGAGTGCTGCATAAGAGGGACAAAATAAGCTAGAAAACATTTGAGGAAAACTTGAAGATATGGCAGTATACTATAGGGAAAATATGATGGTTTAGTTAAGAGAGGCATGTTTTGTTTCCATGTAAAAAAAAAAAAAAAAAACTTTGTATCAACCAGAGCTCCAAATTGGGATATGCTACTTGAAACAGTTCCTAACCTCATAGGATAAAGAAACTGAATAAATCACTCATTATTAAGAAAATTTACCAAGTCAAGTAGAGAGTTAGATTAAGTTTCCTAGAAAGGTCTCTTCTAGTTCTAATATGTTTTTCTTTCTTTCTTTCTTTCTCTTTCTTTCTTTCTTTCTTTCTTTCTTTCTTTCTTTCTTTCTTTCTCTCTCTCTCTCTCTCTCTCTCTCTCTCTCTTTCTTTCTTTCTTATATTTATTCATTTTTGAGAGAGAGCATAAGCGGAAGGGGAGGGCAGGGTGTGCAACGAGAGAGGGAGATAGAGAATTCAAAGCAGGCTCCAGGCTCTGAGCTGTGAGCACAGAACCCAGTGTGGGGCTCGAACTCATGAACTGTGAGATCATGACTTGAGCCAAAGTTGGCCACTCAACAGACTGAGCCACCCAGGTGCCCCTCGTTTTCTTAATTCTGTAGTTAAAAAATTTTTTTTCACTAGAATTTTATGAAATCAAATCTTGTTTTTTAAATGAGCCATTATAGGACTGTTTTGCTTAGTTCTTTGTTTTAAGAGTATTTGGCCAGAGGAATCATGTAGTATGTTTACAACTCTTATCTAACTCAAGATCTAATGATAACATGACATTATGATGATACTTCTCTTCAGTGATCCTATGTGTATATGATAAGAATGAAGTGACCAGAGAACAAAAAAGTGCAGGGTTAATGTTCAGTCAATATAGATAACTTAAAAGATTAGGAATCATAAAACATAAAAGATTAGGTTTGTGATATAGTCGATGAATGTCTCATATTGTAATAACATTGGGTCTGTTCTGACATTTTGCAGAATCCAAGATTAATTAAAGAAATGGTTTCAAAAAGGGGTGAATACTCTTAAGTATGCAAATGAGCCATCATTCCAGAGGGAATTTTCTTAAAATTCTCTCATGATTTGAGCTGAGCCATTCTTCTTAGAATTGTTAACCTGCTCCATCAACTTTTACTAATTTTGAAAACAATATTGACTTGTAATTCTACCTGGAATGATTATCAACTAATTTCATTTACTCTTTTAAATTTGATTATATATTTTCTATGAAGATACAGACCTTGTAAATTGAATTCTTGTGGATTATTGTGGATAGCACATATTTTATTGTGGATTATGAAGTTCTTAAATTCATAGACCAGTTTCTTATAATTATCTGTACTAAGATAAAAGCAGTAAAGTGCTTGTGTCCATTTTTATCATAAGCAGTCATAGATCAGATAGTTCAAAAGTTGAGTCTGTGTTATTGCTATTTAGAAACTGCTTTTGCAGTTCAGGGTCTTGTTCCCAGTTACTCATTAGTTTTTCATTGATTACCCACAGAATGCAAAGCACTGTGTCCTTGGATGTTTATAAGTGATTTCAAATTGCTAGTGTTGCCCATTAGCGGTCCTAAGTCAGTTTGGTGAGTCATAGAACAGCATGTTTTGTTTTATTTTGTTTTTCTAATTAATAGAATAGAAGCTATCAGAGTGCCTGGCATGTAGCAAACTATTTGTTTTGTAAATATTTTGTTCTCTGTATGTAGGTCCTCACTCTCTATGTGAATGTATGTATGTCTTACTCTGGACCACTATTAGACAAGTTTGAAATAAACTCATATAAAGGATGCAAGATGAATAAGCACTTTAATGAATTTACAACATACATAATGTCAGTGTAAATAAATTTTTGTTTGTTTATAGAAGAATACGTTGAAGACAGGTAGAAAGGCCAAGGTGTAGAAAGAGCCCAAATGTCCATTGATGGAAGGATGGATGGATAAAGAAGATGTGGTACATATCACAATGGAGTAATACTCAGCAATCAGAAAAAAATGAAATCTTGCCATTTGCAACTTCGTGGCTGGAACTAGAGGGAATTATGCTAAGCGAAATTAGAGAAAGACAAATATCATGCCTTCACGCATAAGAGGACTTTAAGATACAAAACAGATGAACATAAGGGAAGGGAAACAAAAATAATATAAAAATAGGGAAGGGGACAAAAACATAAGAGACTCTTAAATATGGAGAACAAACACAGGGTTACTGGAGTGGTTGTGGGGGAGGGGATGAGCTAAGCGGATAAGGGGCATTAAGGAATCTGTTCCTGAAGTCATTGTTGTTGGATGTAAATTTTAAAAATAAATTTAAAAATTTTTTAAATATGTTGAAGGCAGATTGGAGGTATACCTAAGTGGTAGGAAATGACATGTGGGCTGACATTATGCAAGTTGACTTGTGTTAAGATATGACTATGGTACAGGGTGCCTGGGTGCCTCAGTCAGTTAAGCAACCGACTTTGGCTCAAGTCACCATCTCACAGGTTTGTTCATTTGAGCCCTGCGTCAGGCTCTGTGCTGACAGCTCAGAGCCTGGAGCATGCTTCAGAGTCAGTCTGTCTGTCTGTGTGTCTGTCTCTCTCTCTCTCTGCCCCTCTCCCACTCATGATCTCTGTCTCAGAAATAAACATTAAAAATTTTTTAAAAATAGTAAAAAAAGAAAAGATTTGACTATGGTAGTTCTCAGACTTTATATGTTGATTTCATGGGATACTTGTTAAAATGCAGTTTCCGCTGCCCTTAGAGTGATTCAGCAGGTCTAAGATGGGGTTTGGGAAGTGTAATTTTTAATGAATACCACAGGTGAATAATATCGGAGTTCCTCCAGCCACACTTAAAGAGTTTTCTTTTTGTTTCTTTGTGAATACTTTTATGTCTCAAAGTTTACTTAAACTTTCATTGGTACAAAAACACTCTTAAAATAAGCAGATTACGGTTTTACATCATCAACATTTGAAGATTAAGATAAAAACAGATCCAAACATGTTTTTGTTGGGGAAAAAGCCTTATAGAACTAAAATTTTGGTTTTTATGATTTTTCCTATTGACCTCTTCTTTTTTCCCACTTATCAAACAAATATATTCTTATTGTAGAAGTACTGAAAACTGTATAGCGTTTTAACAGTTTCAAAATGCATTCCTTTTACAGCTGCGAGACTGTATCCAAAAGACCTTGAATGAGTGGAGTTCCCAAATCAGCCCTGATTTGGTCAGGGTAAGTAAAATGTGAATGAAGAAATGAAGTGGGTCAAAAGGGAAGTGCAGTTGTGATAGGGAAGTCAAATAGGCAATTAGCCTAAAACTCCCTGTAGCTGATTTGCTGAGATGGCTGGCTGGCTGACTCAGTATGCTTAATCATAAAACAGAAAATCCATGATGTGTCACCAAATCTTCAACTAGACAAGATATCAGGATTCTCTGTGCCTAATTTCCACCATAGTTTCTTCACAATGTACCTTTGTTCCAGTTTGTATTTGGTCTAGTAAAAGAATGACTGTTGAATAGTTTTGGTTGCTAGATTGCATTGGTAGAGCATCATAATAACACTAGATACAAATTTTTTAATGTTGGTTTCAAGTGAAACACTGGGTGTTATATTGAATGTCGTTATATACCTATTATCCTAAATATTATACAAACCAGACCACCTGTTTGCAAGCTAGTGTTTAGAATCCACTGTAGCCAAAGGCTCATAACAAATTACATAGACTACTTTAAAACTATGGAAGAGGACACGTGCTGGAAATGCTTGTTGCCCTGGGCATCCTGCAAGTGTAAACTCTGTAGCTGCTAGGCAGATATTGATTAATGTCTTTGATCAGTCTGTGTTTCTCTGAAATGACCATTTGCCTCTATGCATGACTGATAAACACTTACTAAGCCTTTGATGTGTGCCAGGCATTGTAATATGCTCAAGAACTGTGAGGAAACCCTCACTGTTTACTTTGTTTTAGTCTTATAAATGTGGGTTAATATGTTTCTGATTTATATGTACTAACATTTTATCATTTTCCTCATCATTTATTCATTATAATGCATTAGAATGGCCTTTACTTTTTTTATTGCAATCAGAAAAAAAGGTTTTGGCTTAAAGTGTTTGTGATTAATCTAGGAAGTTTTTAACATGTCATTATCCTGAATGGATAAATATTTATTATTTTTAATTGGTTTCTTTTTTTTAACTAAAAGGATGTACTATGCTAGTGGTTCTAACTCCTCACGTTTCCCCACCACCACCACTATTTGTTTTTTGTTTTTTTTATCATGCACTCCTCTGAGTACCTGCTCAAAAGGAGATCCTTTTCCCCAGTAAATGGACACACACACAGCATTTTACCTTTGTTTCAGGGTTTTGCAAACTTTATGAAGCCCATCCAGACATTGGGTAAAGAACCCAGTTATCTTATGGGCTCTCTGCTTCTAAAGGGCACTATGGACAATAGAAAACATATAGCTAATTACAAAGATTAATTTTATATTTATCATAAACATCATGTGTTTGTTATAGGAGTTTCCAGATGTCTTGGAATGTACTGTATCTCATGCGGTAGAAAAGATAAATCCTGATGAAAGAGAAGAAATGAAAGTTTCTGGTAAAGTCCAGCCTTTACAATTTATTTTGTTATACAGTGGAAGTGATAGTGAAGTTTTGTCTGGTATGGGAATAAACCTTTCTTTGCCTCTGGTAATGAGAGACTCAGTCACTAAGTGTGAGAAATACAAAAATTCTTTTTAAACATAATCTTGATGTAAACTCCAAGAGGAAGTTATAGGAGGTCAGTTTTGGCTACTTACGTAGAGTCAGAAAAGAAATTCACCTTGCTGTTCTTCATGGTAGTCTCATTAATTTATATGTTGGACTTCAGGGCAGTAGGAAGATTAAGGTGGAGGAAATGGAAAGAAGAAAAGGAAAGCTTAAGAACAGGGTCTACCTGAAGCAAGCATAAGCCTTCTCTTCCTGGTAGAACACTGCTGAGCAATGGCTGAAGTCACCTAAAAGTGTAGACAGAAATCTGGGCAACAAGTGGCATGAAGAGAAGTAAAATACATGTTAGGCCCATTCAACAAATGTACTGAATAACTGTTTTCCAGAGACCATGCTAAGCTCAGGAATGAAAAAATAAACAGATGTGCTGTTCTTGCCCTCAGCTTAGAGTCAGCACAGCACAGTCATTAAAAGCTTGACTTTGACTAGATTGAAATTCCTTAGTATGCAGATTACTGACTGGTATAATTTTGGGCTAACTAGTTACTTAACCTCTCTGAGCCTCAGTTTTCTCATCTGTAAAACAGGGACGTATCTGTTTCACAGGCTTCTTCGTAAATTAGGTGAAATAACAAAAGCAGCACTTAGCATAGTGCTTGGCAAAACAATTAAGTGCTAGTTAGATAGCTATTATTTATTACCATTTGTGGTTGGGTTGTGGCTGTTATTTTTTTTTTTTTATTATGATGGACATGTAAGATAAGATAGGGCATTGTCTTTTGACTCAATAACTACCATTTGTTGAGTCTTGCTTTGTACCAGGCACTGCAATTTAGCATGTTTTGGTTATATTTCTTCAGATGATTCTCAAAACAGTTCTTCTACATGGTAGGTCTATTATCCCCATCACACAAGTGACATTAAATAACTTGGAAGTTATCATATAACCAGTATGTGGTTGAACCAGGAATCCATCCAGGTATGCTTGACTCTAAAACCCATTTCTTGGGGTGTCTGGGTGGCTCAGTGGGTTAAGCATCAGACTTCAGCTTGGGTCATGATCTCACGGTTCGTGGGTTCGCACCCCTCATCAGGCTCTGCTGACAGCTCAGAGCCTAGAGAGACAGCTTTGGATTCTATGTCTCCCTCTATCTCTATTCCTCTCCTGCTCACACTGTCCCTGTTTGTCTGTCTGTCTCTCTCTCTCTCTCAAAAATAAATAAATATTAAAAATTAAAAAAAAATAAAGCCCATTTCTTTTCTAACACATTGCTATTTGTGTTGGAAAAGGAAGTAAAAGCAACCTTTTCTCTGTGGTCGATTGCAGTTCTTCATGGTTTAGATCCATCTTGGAGCTCATACAGGTTGTCCTCAGTTCCTAGAGGTCTTGAGATTTTTGATAAGTATCAAATTTTTCCTTATTTGAAGAGCTTTATTTTGTCTATATATCTAAAAATGCCTCCTTCTTCAGAGAAAGGAGACCAGTTCAGATGGCACAAATTCATGGCCAGGGGGAGAGTGATGGGGAGGGTTTTCATGGACTATAACTATGGCAGCTGTGGTTGGACCAAAGTGGTGAAGATTGACTCTCACCTGGTAGAGATAGTGATGACTTTTATTTTTTTTTTTTATTTTTATTTTTTTCAAATAGTTTATTGTCAAATTAGTTTCTACATAACACTCAGTGCTCATCCCCAAAGTGCCCTCCTCCATGCCCATCCCCCCCTCCCCCCCACATCCATCAGTCCTCAGTTTTTGTCAGCATTCAAGAGTCTCTAATGGTTTGCCTCTCTCCCTTTCCCCCACCATTTCCGCCCTTCTTCTCCCGCTTGTTCCTCCGTCAAGTTCCTCCTAATCCTCCTATACGTGCAAACATATGATATTTGTCCTTCTCTGCCTGACTTATTTCGCTCAGCATAACACCCTCAAGGTCCATCCATGTTGCTACACATGGCCAGATTTCATTGTTTCTCATTGCCATGTAGTATTCCATGGTATAGATAAACCACATCTTCTTGATCCATTCATCTGTGGATGGACACTTAGGCTCTTTCCATGTTTTAGCTATTGTGGAGAGTGCTGCTATGAACATTGGGGTACACGTGCTCCTATGCCTCAGCATTTCTGTATCCCTTGGGTAAATTCCTAGCAGTGCTATTGCTGGGTCCTAGGGGACTACTATTGTTAGTTTCCTGAGGAACCTCCACACTGTTTTCCAGAGGGGCTGTACCAGTTTACATTCCCACCAACAGTGTAGGAGGGTGCCCGTTTCTCCACATCCTCGCCAGCATCTAGAGTTCTCTGATTTGCTCATTTTAGCCACTCTTACTGGCGTGAGGTGGTATCTCAGTGTGGTTTTGATTTGTATTTCCCTGATGAGGAGGGATGCTGAGCATCGTTTCATGTGTCTGTTGGCCAAGATAGTGATGACTTTTAAACAGAGAAGCTTCATGAGGAAAGCAGCGCTTTAGGAATATTAAAGGAAGGGACAAATAAATGTACAAGGTAAATTTGTTGTATTCGTTGAATACCAGGCAATTTACATACAGATACTTCATTAGCCCTGTTTTGTTTTGTTTTTTCAATTTTTTTTCCTGATGTTCTCTCTTTTTGTTCTCACACCACTCCACCTATTTGTCTGTTGAGTAAATTTAGATTTTGAATAGTGAATTTACGTGAAGTAAATCTATACAAATAAATTTGAGTTTAAATCAAGCCAAAGCCTCAGTCTTATAGAAAACTACTCAGCTTTCCTGGTAACCAAGGAAATGCCAATTAATGCGGCCCTGAAACCATATTAGGTATATATTGTACCTACCAAATTAGCAAAAAACTTACGTATTTTTGGTAGTGTCCTCTATTCTTAGGAGAGCAATTTTTTTTCAAATGTTTATTTTTGAGAGAGAGAGCGCAAGAGCAGGCAGGGGAAGGTAGAAAGAGAGGGAGACAGAGGATGTGAAGCAGGCTCTGTGCTGATGGCAGAGAGCCTGATGCGGGCCTTGAATTCAAGAACCATGAGATCATGACCTGAGCTGAAGTCAAGAGTCATACACTTAACCTACTGAGCCACCCAGGCACCCCCAAATCTTTTATATAAAAATAGGAGGTATATAAAATAGAAAAAGACTCTCAAAAAAGATGATACCCTTTGACTCATAAACACATTTTTGACAATTTGTCCTTGGGAAATGCTTCCGCATAAAGTTGAACAAAGTCACCAAGGTGTTTCTTTAACATTGTATGTGTAAATGTTCAAAAAATAGGAAATCATTTAGTAAGTTACACTCTATCAAAATTTCAGAATAATGTTCAGCCATTAAAAATGAGTATGTAAAATTATTCGTTGAAAATAGAGTATACAAAAATCTAAACAGTGACTGCTTTCAGTGATGAGACAATTGATTTTTTTTTTTGGTCTTTCTATTCTTGTAGATTTTTCTCATTTCCAGAATGAGTATATTGCTATTATGGGATATGATAGGGAACTTAAGAACTTCATAAAGATGTAAAAATAATTATGTAAAGGTAAACTAAATAGAAATGAATAAATATTATACCCTGCTTCATATGACCAATAGCTGGAAGATCATGTCTAAAACTTAGAATGATTATATTAGGAAGGTGAGGTTGTGGGGTTCTTTTCATTTTTCTTCTCATTAACAATTTTAATTTAGTCTTTGCATTGATTTTAGTTCATTGAAGAAACTAATATGCTCCATTAATATTTAATTCATAAACATGTACATTTCAAGTAACTTAAGCTTGTATATTTATCTGACCTGCCATCTAACAGATGGAAAATTAATATCTGCTTTTTTGTTTTGACAAAAGGATTTTTTTTTGGCAACTGATATATAACTTAAAAATTACAGTAGAAATGTTTTATGTCTGAAAATGGAAACTGTAAAATTATGTGACTAGGAAAGGAAAGATAATTCATTCAGGATTCTCTGAGGATTCTCTGTCATTATTGTCGGCAGTGTTAATACTGGGTAGTATAAGTTACCCAAATGTAGTAATCAGTTTTGTTTTGTTTTTTGTTACCCAGCAAAATTGTTCATTGTAGGATCAAATTCTTCATCATCAACAAGAAATGCAGTTGACATGGGTAAGCAAAAATTTAACTTTTTATCTTCATAATGAACTTTAAATTAGTGTAGGTATATTATTTATATCTCATGTTCAGGTTCAGATAAAAAAGAAAATGAGCTCATTCTAATTTTACTCCTTAAAGTTCTAGCCTAGGGGCACCTGGGTGGCTCAGTGGGTTAAGCATCCGACTTTGGCTCAGGTCATGATCTCAGGGTTTGTGGGTTGGAGCCTCATGTTGGCATCAATGCTGACAGCTCAGAACCTGGAGCCTGCTTTGGATTTGAATTCTCCTTCTCTCTCTGCCCCACCCCCACTCACGCTCTGTCTCTCTCTCTCTGTCTCTCAAAAATAAACATGAAAAAAATTTTTTAAAAATAAAGTTCTAGCCTAATTTCTTAAGGCTTCTGTCAGATCAAATTGACTTATGTAGGTTCATATTTTGATATATAAGAGGAATGTAAAAGATATAATCAAATGTCAACTATATGTTTGGAGATAGAAATTCTTTTTTTTAATAATTTTTTAATGCTTTTTTTTTTTTTTAATTTTATTTTTGAGAGAGACAGTGTGAGCAAGGGAGGGTCAGAGAGTGAGGGAGATAAAGAATCTGAAGACAAGCTCCAGGCTCTGAGCTAGCTGTCAGCACAGAGCCTGACATGGGACTTGAACCCATGAACCATGAGATCATGACCTGAGCCAAAATCGGACGCTTAACCGACTGAGCCACCCAGGTGCCCCTGGAGATAGAAATTCTTAATCCTATTCTTAGCCCTTTTAGTACTATAATGAAATACCACAACCACCACCACAACAACAAAACAAGCATTTTCATCTTTGTTTGGCACTTGGTTAGATTATTGTGGTATTGCAATTATTCAGTATTTTTTCTTCTAAAACATTCTTAAAATATTTATAGATGTTGGACACTTAAATAATTAGCTCTGTAATATAACTGTGGAATGAAAACTAATTTAAAATAAACTCTTTAATTATTTTTATAAAAATTATCTCTCTTGGGGTGCTTGGGTGGCTCAGTCGGTTAAGTGTCCAACTTTGGCTCAGGTCATGATCTCAAGGTTCATGAGTTAAAGCCCCACATTGGGCTCTGTGCTGACAGCATAGAGCCTGGAGCCTGCTTTGGATTCTGTGTCTCCCTCTCTCTTTGCCCCTTCCCTGCTCACACCCTGTCTTTCTCTGTCTCAAAAATAAATAAACATTAAAAAATGTTTAAAAAGTACCTCTATAAATATAGATTAGAACCATAAATTTAGCTTTTCAGAGTCTTAAGACTGTTCTTTGCTATGACTACCAATTACAGAATATGAAGTCAGAATTCTTTTAATTAAAAAAAAAATTTTTTTTAATGTCTTTATTCTGAGAGACAGCGAGCAGGGGAGGGGCAGAGAGAGAGGGAGACACAGAAACCAAAGCAGGCTCCAGGCTCTGAGCTGTCAGCACAGAGCCCGACACGGGGCTTGAACCCATGGACTGTGAGATCATGACCTGAGCCAAAGTTGGACACTTAATCGACTGAGCCACCCAGGTGCCCCTGAGGTCAGAATTCTTATAGTCATCCATACAAGACACTCGTAGAACTGGAGAAGAAAATTTTATGAAGATAATGAAGCTACCAAAAAATTTCTGGGGCCTTAGAAACAAGAAGAAGGCCTGTTCTCCAGAAGGCTTGTAATAGCTGTGAGTCCCTAGGAAAGAGGCAGGTCAAAGAAACTGACGTGTCTGTCATGCAGACCAAATAGATGAACAGGGGCTTATACTTATTTAAGAGATGGGAATGTTATAAATGATTATGAAACTGAGTGAAATAATCTATATTAGAAAACTATTGAACTGTATGAACAGAATTTAGTGGGATACTTGAAGGACATTAGAAATACTTGTTTTTATTATGTAATAAATATCCTTTTTGTGTTTTCCTTCACATCAGCCTGTTCAGTCCTTGGAGTTGCACAGCTGGATTCTGTGATCATTGCTTCTCCTCCTATTGAAGATGGAGTTAATCTCTCCTTGGAGCATTTGCAGCCTTACTGGGAGGAATTAGAAAACTTGGTTCAGAGCAAAAAGATTGTTGCAATAGGTACCTCTGATCTAGACAAAACACAGTTGGAACAGCTCTATCAGTGGGCACAGGTAAAGCACAGTGAGATCACAAGCGCTCTGGGAGGAGCCCAGCTTTTACAGTCTTTGCTGCATACCGTTTAGCATCATGCACAATAGTGGACGCTCACTATTGGTTGGCTATTCCAATTGTGGGTGTTTTAAGACAAGATTTGTCTAAAGCATTAGACTTTTTTGTCTCAACTATATGCCTAATTGAATTTAATATTAATTTCATTTCAAATGAGTAACATATTGGAGTGCCTGGGTGGCTCAGTCGGTTAAGCGTCCAACTCTTGATTTCAGCTCAGGTCATGACCATACAGCTTGTGAGATCAAGCCCCGCATCAGGCTTCATGTTGACAGCATGGAGCCTGCTTAGGATTCTCTCTTTACCTCTCTCTCTCTCCCTCTCCCTCTCCCTCTCCCTCTCTCTCTCTCTCTTTCTTCTTCTTCCTCCTCCTCCTCCCCCTCCCCCTCCTCCTCCTCCTCCATGCATGCACTTGCTCACACGCTCTCTCACTCTCTCAAAATGAATAAATAAACTTTAAAAAAAATGAGTGACAGAAACACTAGAAAATGTGTGCTGAAGCATGTACCGTCAAAATGAATTAAGGCTATTTCCTTCAGTTTTACTTTTGTGATAAAATTATTACATTTTTCTTTAGATAAGATTAGGTTTTGGTTCTGATTCCTTAAGTAAGGGAGTATCATATATAACAAATATTTTGCTGTTACTTAAAGATAAAAAAGACTTTTGGTTCATAGAATTTGATACAGAGGTGTAATAAATTAATCACCACCACTCTCTGGCCTAATAAAATGTACAAAATTATTAGGGAAGTTGCTTACTAACTAGTATTTTACTTTTACTCTCTGTATTTTTCTTTACTCCTTTTACTTCATCCCCAAGCTTCTCCTTTTCAGATCTTTCAGTTTCAGACCCTAGAGAAAGTGTTGGCCCTTCTGCCTTTGATTTGGTGATAGCCAGATTGTGGCCAAGATTCTGCTGGAGAGACTTGGGTGATCTGGAATGTTTCTATAAATTACCAGAGCAGCTATTAGAAATTATCTAATTCTTTTTCAAAATGTGTCTGATTTATAACCATATTTTAATTTTTTTAATGTTTATTTATTTTTGAGAGAAAGAGCACAATTTGGGGAGGGGCAGAGAGAGAGGGAAACACAGAATTGGAGGCAGGCTCCAGGCCCTGAGCTGTCAGCAGAGCCTAACATGGGACTCGAACCCACCAACTGTGAAATCATGACCTGAGCCAAAGTCGGAAGCCCAACCAACTGAGCCACCCAGGCGTCCCTGTAACCATATTTTATACTTTAATATTAAATGTATCATTCCTATTTGATCTCTTACCTGTAAGACATACTTCCTCTTCAGCTAGAACTGTCACACTAAGAATCATGTTTATTTTTGAGACAAGTGCAGTAGATTACAGGTACCAGCTGGAAAGTTTCTAATAGTGTAGCACTATATTGGCCCTCATCTAGAGCTCTTTCCTTTCCCTGGTACCACTAACATGAGTTAGAAAAGCATACGTTAATAAATACATTTATAGAAAAGTATTTTATAAACTTTAAGTATTATAAGATGTAGTATATTTCCTAAAATTGTGTCCTTTTATTGCTTTCCACTTTTTGTAGTACTTGATTTAGTGGCAATGTCATGATTTTCTTCACTTCTAGGTAAAACCAAATAGTAACCAAGTTAATCTTGCCTCTTGCTGTGTGATGCCACCCGATTTGACTGCATTTGCTAAACAATTTGATATACAGCTGTTGACTCATAATGATCCAAAAGGTAAGACTGAGATTTTCATTTCTTGATGGATCATGAGCTTTTATCTTACAAGAAGCTACTTGTTAAAATTTAATTTTTAATTTTGTACAGTGATGAATGTTACCTAGAACTTCTCTTTATGGTTAGTTCAAAAGGCATATCCTTTATTTTAGTTCCAGAAAGCTTTGTCTTTATATCAGTGGGGAAAAAAATTGAAGGAATAATTTCCTGAATATCGAGTCAGTTGAAGTTTATAAGTATTAAGCTACACAAAAAAAGATCTTTTAGGATATTCTAAATAGTTTCATATAAAATCTTCTATAGTACAGCAAAAATTGTAACAAACAGCCACTTTAAAAAGATAAATATCTAGAAAGAGAGGCAGATAAAATTTAAAACTTAAGCATCTTAGGATAGGTAATTGATTAGGTATTTTATTAATCATTACTATCAAGACATATTTGGTGTTGATCAGAAACATTATTTGATTAATGAGAATGGCCTCTCTGTCTTCTGTAGAATAATCTTTATTAACATTTTATAGGATAAGTAGGAAAACTGGGAAGAGAATGTTTTACACTTTATACTTATTTATTTAGCAGCCTGCTCCATTCACATTTTTTCACTGAAAAATGAAACCGTGTTTTTGGTATAGTTCTAAGTGAGAAATGTCTTGTGAAAGTTTTAAATCCCTAAGACAGTTTTTAAATGTTAATTTATTTTGAGAGAGAGAGAGAGAGAGAGAGAGTGAGCATGAGCATGCAGAGCTGGACCTTACAACCCTGAGATCATGACGTGAGCTGAAATCAAGAGTCGAATACTTAACTGACTAAGCCACCCATGTCCCCCGAGATTTGCCTTTCTTTTTTTTTTTTTTAAAGTAGGCTCCACACCCAGTGTGGAGCCGACCATGTGGCTTGAATAGGAAGAAATTACATTTTCTAGGTGCTTGGAGAAAAAATAATTTAGCTTTTACTTCCGTGTCTAAAAAGATAGCATTATATTGGTGGTTTGATTCAGTTAGTGTGGTCATGAATAACCCCTTAAGATATTATACAATTTATTAGCAATCTGCCCCATTCTCATTTTTTCACTGTTTTGTAGGAAGAGGAGTTTTAGTAGTTCTTGTTCATTAGATACTAGGTATCATGCTAAATGCCTTTGAGAGATGATTCTCTAATCCTTACAGCACCCGAAACTAGACATTTCATTGATGAGCCTCAGAATTTAAGAAAGTAGCTAAATCTTTTTGATTCGAGATGTTAGCATCGTAGTATTTCAGTCTGAAAACCTTACTTTCTTATAAGTTTCCGTTTAAATGATACCAGAATAGGAGATAATGACTTTTGCCTCTCCCTTTAGTAATTACTTTCACAAGTAATTAGATTCATTTTTTTAAAAAGTCATTTTAGTTGAATATCGAACAAAGAATTTTTATGCTGATTTATTCTGAAACATAAACCCAACTTTAAATTCCAACTTTCCATATGTTAGCAGATACTATATCGTTTCTCTGTTTATCTGTCTATTTGGTGAAGGGGAAGGGAGGAGGAGGGCTTTTCCAGCAATAATTATTGCCAACAGCTGGTGGATGAGCCTGTACCCTCATCCTAGCTCTGCTTGAAAAAAATATTCCTTTTTCCAGTAGGAAAGGAAATAGGAAACGACTAAGGTGTCTGGTATTTTATTTCCACGTTATGTAAATATTGGCATGCTAAATTGCATATACATGTGAGAAGAGAGATTTAATCCTTTTTTGATATGTTTTTGTTTTACTGACATAATTTGACATTCAGATGTCCTTCTAATTTTAATTCTAAACCCTTTGATTAGGATATGTAGGCTGATTCTGCATATACCATTAATGAATCTTCACTTTGATCTGTAATGAAGCAATTCTTTTCTTAAAAGATTTATTGTTTACTGATTCTTTTACTGATTCTAAAGAGCTCGCATGGTTAATTTAAAAGTATGTAGTTGATGAATAGCATAGCTCTCTGATTATGTGATACATTTTATTTTTTAAGCAATCAAGTTGTAAAACATTTAATTTATCATCTAAAATAGAGATTTGTAGGGGCGCCTGGGTGGCTCAGTCAATTAAGCGTACGACTCAGGCTCAGGTCATGATCTCAGTTTGTGAGTTCAAGGCCTGCATTGGGCTCTGTGCTGACAGCTCAGAGCCTAGAGCCTGCTTCAAATTCTGTATCTCCCTCTCTCTCTGCCCCTCCCCTGCTCGTTCTCTGTCTCTCACTGTCTGTCATTAATAAATAAATGTTAAAAAAAATAAAATAGAGATTTGTTTTTAAGTTCCCTCTAAAGCCTTTCCTCTGTTCTAAAATTATCCTGTTCTTCAGAAAATCTTTATTTTCCATTATTCTTTGCCCTAGAAGTTGCAGTAACAGTTTAACTACAATCAGGGTGAAATTGTGAAGTAGGTGATCCTGACTCAGAACCTTCCCCTTTCCATTTGCTTTACCCTCCCCGCCACTCCCATTAAATCTCATGTGCCTTATGCCTCATTCCCTCCAGAATCGTTTTCTCTGTCAGATGGTCTGATAAACAAATCCATGTTACTTTCCCAAAGAGACGTTTGCCTTCCATTTATGAAAGCTGTGCTTTACTGGCTGCATAGCATTGGGCAAGTTACCTAACCTCTCTGCCTCAATTTCCTCCTGGAAAAGGAGGAATATATCTGTTTTATAGGGTTAACATGTGGATTAAATGAGCTAATACATGTACTCAAGAAAGTGTGCCTGGCACATGATAGTAACTAACATTTACTGAGATTTTACAATTGATGTTATCTAAACATCACAGCAGTTCTTTTGGGGCAAGTGGGTCCTTTAGCGCTCCCAAGTCAAACAGTATAGATGGTCACTTAATCCATATCTGTGTGGTTGGTTCTGACCCTAGTAGAATCTTTCCATATTGATTGGGTGCTTCAGCAGACATTTGAATACCTACAATGTGTCAGGTATTGCTCAGAATACTAAGGATATAGGACCAAGTCATATAAATTCCAAGACTCATGATGGGAGAAGACAGACCATAAAATAATGTTAAATGTGATAAATGGTGGTATATGCTATGGAAAAAAGTTTGACTGAAGGAGAAAAGAGTGCCAAGATTAGGAGTTGTTATTTTATATGGGGTAGTCAGGGAGGCCTCTCTGCTAAGGTGACATTAATCAGAGATCTGCAAGAAGGGAGAGAGCCCTGTGGGAATCTGGAGAAAGAGGTTTCAGGGAAGAGGGATCAACTGATTCAAAAGTGTGAATGTGCTTAAGGATTTCAAAATACAACCATGAGGCCAGTGTGGCTGGAGAAAAGGCAGTGAGGAAGATAGTATATCAGAGCAAGAGTAGAGGGCTTGGGTGTAAATGTGGAATCAAAAAATAATTACTTTATCAGAGATGCAAGTTAAAAGATAGCCATCGCCAAAGAGTTTTTAAATGAGCATTAGTGCTCAGGAGAATATGGTAAGACACATTCTGACATTATCAGCTGCTAGTGGAAGTGTAAAGTACAGCCCTTCTGGAAAGCAATTGGCAGTATACTACAAATCAGGCCTTCAAAGTCAAATGTACTTTGTTGTTGTTATTTCATAACCAGGCATGCATTTTAAAGATATTCAGCATAGCATTATTTTTGTTAGCAAAATAATAGGAAAAATCTAATGTTTTTGCTTAGCAAGGAGGAAATGTATAAATTATGAGATCCATATAATGTAGTATCTGGGTAATAATTAAAAATGATTATTTTTAATGATTATTTTATTTTAATAATTATTAAAAAAATAATTACATGGGAAGATTCATAATATAAGTTGAAAAAATGGGTTGTAACTACAGTTACAATTTTTAGTTTTTAAGATACGGTAAAAGAGATACAGAAAAAAGTTGGAAGGAAATAAATGGCAATGGAAATGATCTATCTCTGGTTGATAGAATTATTGGCAACTTTCCTTGTTCTTCCTTGTATGTAACTTTCCTGTATTTTCACTGGCTCTACATTAGAATCACCTGGAAATCTTCCAAAAAAAAAAAAAAAACCAAAACCAAACGACTGTGCAGGCTCCACACATCAGATGTTATGAATTAAATAGGCTGGAGTACAGGTGTAGATACTTTGAAGACTTGCCTGGCTCTTTCTCATATTCTGGTTTAGATTCATAGCACTTTCTCATATTCTGGTTTAGATTCATAGCAACATTAAGGAAAAGCATATTTTATATATTCAGTTTTGAAGTGTTACTTTTCTTGTATTTAAATGCTCACCTACACGGTAAAATGTTGTTATTTTCAAATTTAACACTTTGGGTTTTTATTTGTTGTTCGTTTGTTTTAAGAACTGCTTTCTGAAGCCAGTTTCCAAGAAGCTCTTAAGGAAAGCATCCCTGACATTCAAGCACATGAGTGGGTGCCCCTGTGGCTACTGCGCTATTCGGTCATTGTGAAAAGTAGAGGAATTATCAAATCAAAAGGCTACATCTTACAAGCTAAAAGAAGGGGTTCTTAACTACAACTTAGGATCATAACCTATTTACTGACTTGTCGTTACCTTGAATAGAAGATAAAATTGAGATGTATAAAAACCTGGTCACTTCCTGTAAATGCTGTCAAGGAGGCAGATATTCTTCAGTTACATTTGACACCGTCTTACCTGTCAAGCTTTGAATACTTCTCTTGCCTCCGTATCAGTTCACTCACCCAAACCACTGTATTGTTTTCATTAAACTATTGTTTTCTAATTGAAATTGCCTATAAAGAAAATACTTGCAATATATTTTCCTTTATTTTTATGACTAATAGAAATCAAGAAAATTTGTTGTTAGATATATTTTGGGCCTAGGCATCAGGGTAATGTATATATTTTTTATTTCCAAAAATTAATTAATGGCTTCTTATTCTATAGTATAAGCAATTACAATTGTTAAGATTGAAATACTGGAAGATATTTTTTGTTATTAATAAGATGATTATATCCAGAGTAACTGGAGTAGCTGGGATCTACTAGTAGTGTAAATAAAATTCATTTCTTCAATACATGAATGAAAACTTAAACTTTATGTGTCCTTGCTTGTATTTACCTATAATGATTTAATCATGTATTCTTGTGCCGTATTTTCCTTGCAATGATTTCCAAGACAAACCAAAGTAAATCTGAAAAAGGAGAATAGAAGCTTTGAAACTATTGTTTGGGGTTTTATAAAGGCAACTATTATCATCTCCAGATTCTTTGTAATTATTGGTCTATACTTAATTTTTTGGAACTCATTCAAGAATATTTAATAAGTATTAAGTGTTTACCATGTGCTGGGCAATGTGGACTATGAGGAAGTGGGGGGCATAGGGATTCAGAATCAGTTGAGTAAAATATGTAATATTTGCTCCTCACTAATAACCAACTAGGAGGTACTAAAAGCCAGGAAAGGAGTGAAAAAAATCTTTAATTCAGGGCCAGCATTGTCTGTTTAGACAACTTTTTTGAGATACAGTCTTAACTATTTAAAAGCAAAATGTTATACACTTGATCTTAGTGAAAAGGCCAAGAAGCGATAAAAAAGCAAAGTGTTATGATCCAAACTTTAGAGCTAGAGGAGGCTATAGATTATTTATTATAATTCCTCATTAAACACTAGAAAATAGCAAATAAATAAGCCATGCCCTTTGATATATACTATGTCTCCACAGTTCTAGAAGTTTGTAATCCAAATAGTTTGAAAATTTCTTTACAAATCTCATATCTCAATCAGGACTTTTCAACCATGTGTCCTCATATACAGTTTATAAAAATTCATATTTAAAACTAATTTTGCCCAAGGTTTTTCAACTTAGAGAAAAGAAATATGGTTCCATATTCAAAGTAAATATACTAGACTCTTCCTATCCTAAACAAGGTTTTGTAGTTTACTGGTTGGATAATTTCATCATTAAAATTATAATGTGAAATCAGCTGAATTACTTGTTACATAAAACTCATTTAAACTTAGAATTCCCTAAAGCCTTATATTGCCTTTATGGTAATTGTATATAATGTTATTGAATGTATATAGTTAACTTTTTTAATCTGGAAATGTACATTTTTTCATACAACATAAGTTTCTAAACAAATGCTCATTTTAATTTAATCCTAAACAGTGAATTAGTCAAGATATTTTAAGAAGGAACTTTAATATCACATTTGTTTTTTAAAACTGTAGACTTACAGAAATGGATTTTTTGAAGGGTTATTTTGAAGATAGAAAAAAACAAAACTAATGTTAATTTATCCAAATGTCATAAGAGCTTTTTTTGTGTTCTTCCCCCACCCCCTCAACAAAAAAGCAAGACTGTAGTTTCATTTTGTGAAGGGGATCATGTAGGTATGGAATTTTAAAATTATTTTATTGTTTCCCTTCTGAACCTTTAATTTCTGTTATTGAATAAACTTTAAAAAATGATTTTTTTTAAGGCTTTACAATTTAACAAGCTGATATTCACATTTTTTGGTAAACTAACAGAATATAGTGACTACTTTCCAAATACTTAAGGACTTAATGTGTAAAAAGCCATAAAACAAAGAGCAGTAATACTACCAAATAATTGCTTAAAGCTGAAAGCTAAGTTATCAATAGTGTATATAACAGATACATTTTCTAGGGAGAGGTGTGTTCATGACTCAGTGTAGAAAGAATTTATATAATTGGTTTTTTTTTTTTCAACCAACATGAAAAGAAGCTACAGCTTGTTATTACATTTCCAAAATACACTGGAGCCTTACTTTAACACAATGTACTGTAAACTTAGAATTTGTTCTGTGATGAGTCTATCTTGAATTCCCATCCAAGAAACTCTAGTCACCAGAAGGACCAAGGTGTCTTATAAAATACATTCACATGGTGTAAATTCTGAAGACCACATTGTGCTGGTATCCAGGTTAGAGTATCCATTTAGGGATGGCTGGTGCTAGATTGAATCACAAATAGCTAATGATTTTTTTGATCTCAAAGATCACTTAAACAGATATGTGTGGAATGGAAAATAAAGTTACTCTATTTTGCATAAATGGTCAGATTTTTCCCTACCAGAGCCAAGTAGTAACTGAAATAAGATCTCAGTTTTTAGTGATAAAGGTCTAAGTCTCATTTAATTACATCTCATTTTTTAACAGATTTCTTTCTACCTTTTCCACCTAGCATTTTCAATAGTGGGGAATGTAAGTGACTGACAGTTTATTATATATTGGCCAACAGTTGATCTCTCTGCAAATTGTGTGTTTAGAGAAATTTGAAGGAGAATTTAAACCATTTGTTTTCATAATCAAATATATCAACTTACAATTCTGAGCCTATTTTTTAAAGTTAACTTCCTAATGTACCAGAACTTGTATCTGTCATTTCCCCATAAAGTTGATGATGGGATATGTCAATTTTTGAAAACTATGTAACATAACTTTCATTAATATTTTTTATCATTTTCAGAATTAGAAATACACTTAGGGGAAAATGTTTTCATTAGATAATTCTACTTTTATGTGTCCGCAGTGGTGTATTATGAAATACAGGCAAAATAAAAGCATTAATAAATGTTTATAATATCACTTTATGAGTATTAATATCACTTATGAGTATTAATGAATTACCTAATTAAAGTGTGTTGTATATTTTTTAACTGAGTTGAATAGTTGGAAGCATCTAGAATATTATATTGACTTTGACCTATTGGAACTCATAAACAGTATGATTCAAAAATTGTGAATAATTTTTTAACCAAGCCATAAAGCTATTCATGCATTCATTCATTCAGTGATTTATCAAATGCCTACTATATGCCAACCACTGTGTAAGGTATTGGCAGATACACACAGAAATGAAAAAGACCCCGTGTCTTCAAGGAGCATATAGTGTATTTGGGGGGAAGAGAGATCTGTATGTGAATAAGAGCAATAAAGTCTGCATCTGTTAATAATTGAAGTGGTGAAGAGGGATTGGGGGCATTTGGAAGGAGGTGGGGCTAGGGAATACCTACTGCTAGAAGACTCCCCTGAAATCTAAATTAGCCTTAGAGTAGGATGACAGGATAGGTGGGCATTCTGGCAGAGGCCTTTGTTTGCCTCATTTGTAAATAAATGTTTTTATTGAATGATGACCAATATATATGTAAACTTTAGAAATTCAGTTAAAACAGTTTCTTAAAGAACTTGCCATTACAGATAGAAAGGAATGGCTTCTGTTGAGACAAGAGTAAGGTTGGAAAAGTAATGTTTTATGATAAAGAGGCCAAAACTTGCCCAAATCCCCCAAATCAGAATATGGCTGTTATGTACTTTCACTACCAGCAGAGCCAAAAAAAAAATTTTAATATGTATCAACAATGAATAAATATATAAAATGTCATACAAGACTTTTTGTGTGTCTGGTCCATTATTTTAGAAAGATTCATGTTTTGTAATGTCCATTACCTGGGTAGCTCTGTTGTTTAAGCATCTGACTCTTGATTTTGGCTCAAGTCAGGATCTCACGGTTCATGGGACTGAGCCCACCAAGTTCTGTACTGACAGTACAGAGCCTGCTTGGGATTCTCTCCCTCTCTCTCTGCCCCTTCCCAATGCGTGCATGCTCTCTCTCTCAAATAAACATAAAAAGATAGCATTAAAAGATCATTATCAGGGATATGCAATTTAAAACCACAATCAAATGTCACTAAAGTACAAAATAAAATAGCTAAAATTTTAAAAGACCGACAGTACCAAGTACTGACAAAGATGTGGAGCAAGCAGAACTCTCATATTGCTGGTGGGAATGTAAAATGGTATGCCCACTATGGAAAATACCTTGGCATTTCTTACAAAATTAAATGTTCATTTACCATATGGTCCAGCAATTATTCTTCTAGGTATGTACTCAAGAAAAATAAAAACATATGTTCAAAATGGACATAAATGTTTATAGCACTTTACTCATAATAGCTGAAAAAGCCACCCAAATGCTATCAACTGTTGAACTGATAATTGTATTATAATAGGCTACTACTCAGCAATAAAAATTATATACAGTAGCATAGATGAATAGACATGCTGAGTGAAAGAAGCTAGACATGAAGGAGCATGTACTTACATGAAATTTTAAAGCAAAATTATTCAGTAGTGACTTATTTATTGCTATATCTGGGTACCTCAAAGTGCTGCAAGAGGTTGCAATCAAAAGTGTCAGGGGGCACCTAGATGGCTCAGTCAGTTAAGCTTCCGTCTTCAGCCTAGGTCATGATCTCACTGTTCCTGAGTTCAAGCCCCTCATCAGGCTCTGTGCTGACAGCTCAGAGCCTGGAGCCTGTTTCAGATTCTGTGTCTCCCTCTCTCTCTCTGTCTTTCTCTCCCCTTCCCCCACTCACACTCTGTCTCTCTCAAAAATAAACTTGTTTCTTTTTTAAGTGTCAGCTGTAATTACAGTCCCATCTAGATACTTGATTGAGTTTGGTCTACTTCCAAGCTTTCTCATATGGTTGTATGACTGAGTTCCTGGTTGGCTCTAGGCCAAAAGGCCTCCCTCACTTCCTTGCCACATGGCCATATCCAAAGGGCAGCTCATAACAAGCACTAGCCACAGAATGAACAAGTGACACTGCAAGATGGAAGCCATCTTTTTTGTAATCTAATCATAACATAGATACCTATCATCTGTCATTCCTTTCATTGTAAGTCCAGCCCACATTCAAAGGTTTGAAACTTGGGAGACTGGATCATTGGGGATCATCTTACAAGCCAAACTTCAATGTTTTAACGCTTACAAATAGTATTTAGTTTTAGAAAGCTCACGAACTAAAACCCTCATCTTTTAAAGGTTAATGCCTGAAATCCCAGGGAGATTCAAACCTTCAGTTTAGAGGTTTAATTAGTAAAATACTATCAAGGGAGAATTTTCCTTTGAGCCTGGTAACTACTGTATTCTCATACCATATCTACCTAAAATTGGGTATACTGTAATTTGCCATAAATCCACTTTGGATAAAGAGGGTAGGCAATAAAGGTAGAAACAGAAACTGGGCAGACCTGGTAAGCCCACATAAAATAAAAACGGAACACATCACAGTTTTGCCTATTATCAGCAGACCTGTTGATAGTAGACCACTCAGTCTTCTCAGTTTATGAATACGTACTGCTGTTTTACTTTTGTATTTTGTTTCTTGATCTTCTTAAGGCTGTAATGTTTGGGGGTTTTTGTTTTACTTTATTTTAATGTTCTATTTATTTTTGAGGGTGGGAGGGGCAGAAAGCGAGAGGGAGACACAGAATCTGAAGCAGGCTCCAGTCTCTGAGCTGGCAGCACAGAGCCCAACATGGGGCCTGAACTCACAAGCGGTGAGATCATGACCTGAACCAAAGTCAGATGTTTAACCAACTGAGTCACGGAGGCTCCTTATTTGTCTTAAAGGGGCTATGCTTACAAGTGAATATTACATACTGATTTTCTAATACTCAATCTTCTATACCCACTTCTATGATCTTAATTGCTATTTTCATGCATTTGCTCATGTTAAAGTTGTAGAGTTACTACATGTAAAACACTTAGTACCCAGCAAATTTGAGCTCACTGCTATTACTGTAATTGACACTTTGTCCTCTGCTACTTTTGAGCTCCACTACCCACCTCCAATAGGTTCATTTTCCTTCCTCTACAGCATTCTACCTTGTCTTTAAATCTATCCTGTTTTCTTTTGTTCTTCCTCTTACAGTCTCATTGCTACTTAGCCATACTAAAATTCCTCCTTTTTGTTTTTTAACCACATTTCCGCAAGAGTCAGTCTAAACCTTTTCCATTCCTCTAAGCAGATGAATCTTCTACTTACAGAGATTGAGGTTATCCATCCAGAAGCCCCTCTTCTTCCCTCCCCTTTAATTTCCTTGCATTCACACTCAATGTGCTGCTTCTGGTATCAACTCTTCCCTCCTGCTGCAAAGGGAGAAGCATTCTTTTGTGACTAACTCCTCCATCTCTATTCTTTATTCCATTCTTCAGTAGGGATTAGGCTCAGCTGCAAGCAACAGAAAATCTCCAAATGGCAGTTTAAGTGATGAGTCACTAAATTCTACATCAGAAACTAATATTACACTGTATGTTAACTGGAATTAAATAAAAACTTGAAAAAAATAAAAAGACTGAAATGGCAACTCCATCAGTCGTCAGGGACTCACGTTTTATTTCTCACTGCTCTGCCATCCCTCAAGTGTGGCCTTGTCCTAAAGTGTGTCGCACAAACTTGCTGCTTGAAACCGGAGAATACAGCTTCCCAGGGAGAAAAATGAATTCAAGACAAGGAGACCTCCTCTCTTTTCATATGTCCCTAAACAACTACACAACCCTTAATTTGTATGTACTTGGCCAAAATTTGGCTACATTGGCTGCAAGGGAAGCTATGAAAGGACCTAGTTAGCTAGGTGGCAATGTGCCTGCTTAAATACCTGTTTTGTGACAGTAAGAGAGATTGGTTTTCTGTTCCAGAACAGTAAAGAGTAGATTTGATGAGGCATTCATCCTTTCTCACTTCCAGTACCCGTTTAGCTACTTCAATCCTTTTCCATTCCCCTCAGATATATTCTAGCTCTTCATCCTTCATCCTAAAAGAAAATGAAACACCTTTTGATTCTGGTCATTCTCTTCACTTTGCAACAAAAATAAAAATAAAATTATCGCTCTTCTTGACAACTTACATTTCTTTTCTGCTTATTTCTGATCCCTAGTTACCATCCCACCTTTATACAGCTTCCTAGTCTCCGAGTTTCTGAGACTCCTAACAAATACATCTTTACTTCAACGAGTCTTTCAATTTTATTACTATTTAACTTTACGAATAAGAGCAGGATGTTGCCCACCCCCCAAAAAAATGGTATTATAAATAATGCAAATGATCTTTAGGTCACACCCATGACTACACTAAGACCTTTAGAACTGCCAAATTAGAGGATGAAGTTGGAAAGATGTGATTTTCCAATTTTTGTGGCACCGGCACGGGGCCCTCCGTTACTGCGGGTTTCACCGCCCCCACCGAGGTCTCTACGCGCTGAAGGCCAGTTGATCTGTCTCGCACCTCATCGCAGCTAACGCTAGAAGCCGTGGCCTTGGGAATCCCTGAGTCCGCGGGCCGGAAGCTGGTACGAGATTCTCGCTAGTTCCCGAATCCTCGCGGAAAATGCTAGCAAGTCGCTTCTTTGACGCACTTCCGGGGCGCCGGAAGCGAGGTGCCCGCGAGTCGGGAAGATGGTGGTAACCAGGTCCGGGCGGCCTCAGGCCGCGATCCAAGCCACGTTGGCCGAAAGCTCTCAGCAGAAGGTAGGGGATCGCAGAGGGCCGTCGTTTCCGCGCGCTGCCTCGCAGAGCGGCGCCTAGGGTGCGGGGGCGGCGCGCAGGCGCGGCGGAGCAGCGTGAGGAGGAGCGGCGGGAAGCGCACGAGCTGGGCGCGCTGCCTGTTTCAGGCCCGTCGCCAAGCCCGTAGCTTCTTCTTCGGTCCTCGCTGTGATCTTTTAAGGCAGTCCTCAGCAGGTGACAGAGAGGTCAGGTAATTTGCTTTGGGTGGAACGCCTCCGTAGCGCCGGTGCACGGCTGAGGCCTTTTAACCTGTTAACACCGTCCGCAGGAGGATTAATTTCGGCGACCAAGTGTTTGTCTAATTAGGGTTGAAAAGAAGGTGGCCGTGTTTTCACGTGGGGAGCTGGTAATGGCCCGACAGCACTTTCTTTAAGTCGACCGGGGGGGGGGGGGGGGGGGGGGGGGGGGGCGGGGAGGAGCGCCAGTGACGCCGCCTGGTGGCTGTCAGTGGCGCCAGTGGTCCTCTGCTCTGATTCTGCGGCCCAGTGAATGGAGCGTTAATTCTTTTATGTACCTAAGGTAAGGGCCGCGACCGAGTCCACTGGTGTGTGTGTTCCTAAACACATCTGTGCTCAGAGTTCCTATTTCCCTTCTTCTCTCTTCTGGGTGTGTGTGTGTGTGTGTCAGAATGCAGGTCCACCAAGCCTATTTGGCATTTGATGATTCAGTGTGGAATTTTTTCACTTAATTGTTTTACTCCCTAAAGTTATATCTAGGTCTTGGGGAGGAGAGTGAGGTAGGGTCTTCCTAATGCAGAGTCAGATCCATTGCGTCTTTTATTTTTAGTTTTTAAAATCTTGGGTATGGGTTGTTGTGAGGCAGGGTCCTGCAAATGTGGGGGCAGATCCAGGTTTTTTTTTTTTTCTTTAATCGTCGGTGGTGATTATCTTTGTAATAACAATCTCGCTAATTGAGTTTTTAAGTTCACTCTTAAAATTTGCTCCTGAAAGGAGCATTTCACTTGCTTTGCCATAGTTCCAGCCCTACCTGAATTACAGTGTATTTGTTCTGACTTACAGAATTCTGCTGCTGAAAGAATTGAGGCACATCCAAAAGCCAGGAAAGAATCTCCAGCTGGTGAGCCAACGACTGCTGAGTCACAAACCACTAGGAAACAAAGTCCAGTCCCTAGAGCTCCTAATAGCAAAAAGAGGAAGAGCAGAACTACAGTCTCGTTACCAGAGATAAGCAAACCATCTACTGATGGAGAGACCTCTGAGGCAGAGTCAGATTGTTCTTCTGTGACCGAATTCCAGGATCCCATTTTAAGAGTAACTAGGAGACGGCAGATCTTAGTTGCATGCACCCCAGTGTCTACTGTTAGGAAAAGGCCTAAAATAACTCCAATAAATCAGTCTCCTGTGGAAGAAGAAGCAGATGACTCTGAAGCTGAATCACATACCTCAGGTATTTCTAGAATTGTGCCGCCCACATTAATAACTACAAGAACTAGAAGAAGTAAGACTAAATCCCTGAGAGAGCCAAACCAAGAATTGCATGCAGAAGCTATTTCTGATGCCGAGTCATCATACTCAGACATTTCTTCAATTTCTGGGGTGACATCTATGAGAACAAGAAGTATGCAGAAGAAATCACAGTCACACACTGAGGAGAAAAATACTAATATTGTACCAGAAACTGAAAAGCAAATTATAAATTTGCCAGTGAATTCAGAGGATTCAGATACCAGACAAACAGCTTGTTTACTTGCAAGATCTCCTTCTCAGATAAATAAGCAAAGTTTCTACAGTAATGAAATGTATAAGGACTTTGATGATTCCTTCCACAGAAATTCAGGGAAAAAGAAAACAGTGCAAAAACGTCAACATTTTAACACAAGAGAGGAAAAACAGGCCAGTGTTGCACCTCTCAAAGAAGTAACAAAGCAGAATTGTAAGAATATAGATGAAGAAGCCAAAGGAATGGTAAACGAGGAAAAAGAAAGAAATGAGAAAAATTCTCAGTTGGAGAGCCTTTCTGAACCTCAGGACACTAGCATTCAGCAGTTAGTTTCACAAAGGCAGTCAACCCCGCAAAATAACAAAACTGCCTCAGAGCCCACAGATCTGAACTGTGAGGCTATCATGAAATCATTAGCTCAGACATTTGCAGTGGTGGAAGTGGACAGGTGGAGTGAAGAGAGGAAGAACACCATAAAAACAAGTGACCTGACAGACTTTGGTGATGGCAGTGATGAAGAAGAGTGCACAGTTACAGGCATCCGTGACGACATAAATGGAGAAAGGGATGGAGATTTTGAGTGTGAGACCAGACTGTTCAAGTCTGAGCTCAACACATCTCTGGATAAAGGTGACTCTGTTTTCTTAGTTCTCAGCAGTGATGAGAGCCAGCAGTCTGAAAACAGTGAGAACGAAGAGGACACTGTGTGCTTTGTTGAAAATAATGGTCAAAAAGAGTCATTAAATGGAGACTCAGAAAACATGTCCTGTGACAACCCATTGTTTGTCATTGACACAACTCCCGGATTGAGTACTGATAAACACTTTTACCTGGATGAGGGAGACAAGGCAAGTGAGGTTGCCACCGAGGAAGAAAAAGAGGAAGAGGATGAAAAAAGTGAAGAACCATCCGACCATGACAGAGATAAAGATGATGAGTTTAGTGATGAAGACGACTTACTAAATAGCACAAAGTCTAAACTGTAAGTTTTTTCTTTATTTTTTAAAGTTTTTGATACATATTTCAAGTGGCTAATTTGCCATAAAAATATAAAATATTAGAAGTCATAGGAATCGAGAAAATTACTGTCTCATGTTCTTTTTTTCTTTTAATGTTTATTTTTTGAGAGGATGAGTGGAGAACGGGCAGAGAGAGAAGGGGACAGAGGATCTGAAGCAGGCTCTGCGCTAACAGCAGAGAGCCAGATGTGGGGCTCAAATTCACAAACCATGAGATCATGACCAGAGCAGAAGTCAGCCATTTAACCAACTGAGCCACCCAGGAGCCCCTGCTTCAGGTTCTCTATGAAAGAGCTCTTTTATCCACCATTTCCCTAGTCTATGCTAGTGCCTTTGTTACATATTTCTCCCACCAGTGATCTATTAGAAATCATCTATTAAGATTTTCCTACGTGATAGTTAAGAACAACATAAAAAGAAAAAAAAGGAACTTTACTCCCCTCCATGTGGATCGTAGAGAAGTTGAAAAATAGAGAAAAGCCGGAGAAAAATAATCACCTATAATCCGCCAGTCACCCAGTACCAACATTTGGGGCTATTGCTTTAGTTTCTTTTTTTCTGTTTTAAGTTTGTTTTTCCAGGCACAGGTCCCTGGTGGCAGTGAGTCCACTGGAAATACAGACATCCCTGGTAAGGGTCTGTACATTAATGGATGCCCAGTCTTCACTCTGAACCAGTGAAATCAATCTCTGAGGCTAGCCTCGGGCATTTTGTTTTTCTAAAGTCACACTGCTCTCCAGGATAATTCTTCTGTACCTTTAGGGTTGAGAATCACTGCCAAACCACTGCAGTAGAATGATTTCACTTACCAGCCGAGGTTGATCAAAGCTTTCAACTGCCGTTTATATGAATAATTACGGAAGAAAGTAACTATAAGTCCAAATGTATTTGCTTATAAAAAGGACCTTTCAGTAATGTAAAAGTAGAAATTCTTATTACATAAATATAGCAGGAGCCCAGACCAAACTGTAGAAATTCTCATTTGGTAGGTCTGGGGTGTGACTTCTGTATTTTTAACAACCTCCAGTGGAAATACAGATAGATGTTCACCACTGTTTAAAATTCACTGATTTAGAAGCTTTACCAAATGCCCTTAGTTACCCAGAAAAACGTTTGGAAGTTCAGAACCTTTTCTCATTAGTATTAGAGATGGAGGTATGTACATTTAACTCACTACCTGTATGTGAAGTTGAGCTAAACTGCCAGATATATCTCCTCTTTTCTGATTCTTTTCTTTATAAAATCCCTTTATGAAGTGCATTGGCATGTGATCTTACTCCTCTTTAAGAAAATCTGGGGAATAAATCCAAAAAGACTTTTTTCATTCAGTATTCATGCCAGAATTTGCTTCTGAATTGTTCTGTTAGATTTAAAACGTGTATTCACAGTTTTTCAGAATCCACTGTAAAAGTAAGATATTCTTTCTTTTTATTGTAGCGGGGTGGGGGGGATGTCATTGGCAGTAAAGGAGAGAAGGAAAAATGTGATTTGAAAAATATAGTCTTGGGGCACCCGGGTGGCTCAGTAGGTTAAGCGTCCCACTTCAGCTCAGGTCATGATCTCACAGTTTGTGAGTTCAAGCCCTGCATTAGGCTCTGCGCTGACAGCACAGAGACTGCTTGGGATTCTCTCTCTTCTCCATTCTCTCTCTCAAAAAAAACAACTTTTAAAAAAATAATAAAAATACAGTCTCAGTTATTTTCATTTGATCTTTAATCGATCGTTTCTCTTTCAGTCTGAAGTTGACAAGCAGCAGCATAGACCCCGGTTTGAGTATCAAGCAGTTGGGTGGTTTGTATATTAATTTCAATGCAGACAAACTACAGTCAAAAAAGAGAACCCTAACACAGATCAAGGAGAAAAAGAAAGATGCGGTAAGTTACATGGAGTGTCCTGTCGGTTTTCATAGAACTAAGCAGTCACTTCTAGAAACGATTAGTTCTTGATAAGAGATTAGTTTTCCTGCAGGAAAATCACATTAGCCTACTGTGCTCCTTTTTTCCCCTCAGAGTGCTAGCTTTAAAAGATAACATTAGAAAAATAAATTAATACAGGATCAGCAGTCCTCTTTTTGCACCCACCAGTTATCCCAGGGGTTGTGTTTTCTTCTCCTTTCCTGCCATATTTTTAGTTCTTAACTGTTAGGGATGCTGTTGAGAATCTGAAAACTGGGTGCCCACTTCTGCCCACCAGGAAAAACACATATGTGCACATAGACCTAAAATCGTACATATAATTTCAGAAGGAAATTCCAGGGTCGGCAAACTCACCCAGACCCTCAGCTTTAGTCACAACCTCGCGTGGCTTCCCCGAATCGGTACTTTTCAGCCTTGTTGTCCCTTTAGGTCTTTTCTGCCTGTTGACTGTTCTTCCAGATTTGCTCAGGCATTCGACCTCACTGATAGAGCTCTCGCTTCTCTTTCCGGCCGGAACCAACTCCTTCAGTATTCTCTGCTGGTTAATGATGCCAAAATCTCTTTTCCTTTTGCAGTCAGTCACTGAGCCGAAGGGATGCTGCTGCTTACATACTTTGTCCTCTGTTCCCTCCTTTTCACCCCACGGTCACTGGCTAGTGCAGGGCTTTGTTTTTTCATCTAGACTACTGCAGTAGCCTCTTTATTCTTTTCTTCAAGCCATCCTCCAGGTGCTAGGTTTCTCTCTTTAAAAATACAAATCTGGGCACCTGGCTGGCTGGGTCATAAGAGCGTATACCTCTTGATCTCCAGGTTGTGAGTTCAAGCCACATATTAGGTATAGAGATTACTTTAAAAAACACACACACAAACACCAATCTAACCATGCAGTTCTGTTGAAGTCCTTCAGTGGTTCTTCAGAACAATCAAGTTGCTTCTTTTCCTTCAGCTGTGTTCCCGTGCTGCATTCCCTGAACATGCCCTGCCCTCTCCAAGTCCAGTACAGAGTTCATAGATCACTGCCTTTGGGAGACATTCTCTGACTCTAGTCCTTTCCACCACCTCCTCTGTGCTTCTGCAACACCCAGTATAGAGTTGACTTGTTATTGATCGCATGGTTGTGTAATTGTTATTTTGCTGTCTTTTAGCTTTATATTTCTAAAACAGGATTCCTCAACCTCTGCAATACTGGTACTTTGGGCTAGACACCTCATTGTTGTGGGAGGGTGTCTCTTGCTCACGGTAGTATGTGCAGTGGCATCCCTAGCCTCTACCCACTACTTGTCAGTGGCATCCACCCCCCACCCCCACCCCATTTACACCCCTCCCCACGCACACACACTTTCACACCATAGTACGTGACACAAAACAAGCTCTTAAAAACTTGCTAAGTAAATGTTATGCTCTCATTTCTGAGTGGAAGGATCAAGTCTAGATTACTACTCTACTACCCACAAATTTCTAGGCCTGAACCTGAATTGAGGATTTCTGAATTGATTAATTTCAAACATTACTGACCAAATTAATACTTCTGTGAACTACTTTGAGGGCCAAGGAGCAGTTTTCTTTAGTTCTTATACTATGGGAGAGGACTAATTACCCCGAAGCACTTTTTAGTAACATATAAATAGTATTATGACGATATTTATGTATCCTATGCAGACAAAAGCAGAAGTCATTTAGGAAAAGATTAACAGGTTTAACTACACAAAATTTCAAAACTTCTACAATGAACACCTTAACAAAGAGAAGTAGAAAACCACAGGTTAATACCCTGAGATAAAATGATTTTTACAAATTGTTAAGAACAGCCATATAGAAAAATGAAAAAGAACCTCCAAAAGTACAGGTATCTCCCACAGAAGACTTACACATAGCTACTAAATACACAAAAAGATGATCAACAGCAAACGGAAACAGCCATAAGGCAACATTGAGGACACACAAAAAGATGATACCTAGTGTTGGCAGCCATGTAAAGAAAAAGACATTGATTAACCGTTGGTAGGATTTAACCTTACTTGAATACAAGGCAATTTAGCAATATCTGTCAGAACTTAGAATCTTACAGAAATAATCACAAGTGTGCAGAGATGATGTTTACAGTGTTGAATGGGAAAAGATTTGACGGACACTTAAATGTCAGAAGAAAAAGTATAGTGCATAACAGCTATTGAAAAGTATGAAGATCTACATGTGAACTGACATTAAAAGAGTGTCTAAGCTATGTTGCTGAACTGTAAAAAGCAGATTTATCTAGACAGGATGATTTGTTGATATAACATAAATTATATGTTGTTTAATCAAATTTATATCACTGTATTTAATAATATCTCCTCATCAGAGGAAGCTGTTTTACCAACATCAAAAGAACCTACTAAAGGCTTGTTTTTTTCAGAGATTTCTATAGCTGTTATGGCATTTTTCCTGTTGCTTTATTATCCAGTTGTTTGATGCAAGTGGCTGGTTGCAAATCCATAAAAACAAGTTAGACAAATTAAAGTATATCTGATGTGTGCCGATTCAGTTTAGAAAAAGAAATTTAAGATGAAATTTCCTAAAATAATCGTTCAGTTTGCCTTCTACAGCATTTATATTGTGATATAATTTATAAACTTAAGGACTAAAACAATTGTGCAGTAGTATGGTTGTGCATAAAGAGGGCTGATACGTTTGGAGTAGCCAGTGTGGGAGATGTTTTTCTTAGAAGGTAAAAGATGTAGGAAAAGATTATATGATATTCTGATATTTTTAAAACCAATTTAGCATGTTTGTAGCTTTTGCAGAAATCCATCATTACTCCTGATTTTGAAAAAAACTACTGTGTCCCACCATATAGTGAATCAAAGTATCAACTTCAGAAAAAACGCAGAGTAAGTATAGTGGCTCTCATTATTTGGAATGTTTAGATGTGTTTGACTATATAATTAAGCTTATACACCATGGTTGTATAATTTAAAGATACTTATTTTGGGGGCACCTGGCTGGCTCATCCAGTAAAGTATGCGACTCTTAATCTCAGGGTTATGAGTTCTATCCTCGCATTGGGTGCAGAGATTATGTAAGAAAAATAAAATCTTAAAAAAAAATGTATTTGCAAAGAGTTGTCACAGAATTTTAAGGGCCCATAAAATGCAGTTTCATAAACACATTCTATACAAATTTTCACTTGGTGAAAGTGCACCAGGTGGTGCACACGAACACCTTTTTTCCCCCCTTCTTAGGCAGCCAGCATATAAGGTCACTGTCCATACCTCTTGGTTTATAGTATTGCTCACAGAGAGCCAAGAGCTCCGTTGTAGGCTGTTGTAGGGAACTTAATGTAAAAACCTGGGTCTCTATAGTCTGCCCGTTGAGAAGGGTAGGAAACTATTTTCTCGTTTTTGTTTTTTAATGTTTATATTTGAGAGAGAGAGACAGTGTGCAAGCAGGAGAGGGACAAAGAGAGATGGAGAGAGAATCTGAAGCAGGTTCCAGGCTCTGAGCTGTCAGCACAGAGCGCAATGCAGGGCTCCAACTCCAGATCCGTGAGATACGACCTGAGCTGAAGTCAGATGCTCACCAACTGAGCCTCCCAGGCGCCCCTAGTAACTATTTTCTTTTGTAAAAATTGGGGATTGTTTCCACCCACCATTTCAACTGATAAGCATAAAGTTATCAAAGGAGCTTGAAGGAAATTTGAGGGTGGTGCCCCAATAATGTCTCAGCACTAATGTGGAGCATTTCAGGCATGTAGTAGACACTATGTAATGTTGTATGAGTAAAAAATAAAATTAGGTAAATAACTTGCTGGTAGTTTCTCAAAGAATTTTTTTTAATTTTAGAAAAAATATAAATTTCTGGACTGGTCAGACTAAGTGACTTTGAGTCACCTGGGTGACCTGGGTAACATAAAAATGTTAATATTTTACATTACATATAAGCTCCAGAAGTGAAAATGTTCTTATCCACTATCTCTTGTGTAGGCTGTATATTACAGAATAAAGATTGCAGGTGCGGGTTCTTCTCTGGCAAGTCAGCAATTTCTTACTAAGACACAATAAAAATTTAAGGAACCCTCATTTATGAAATTGATAATACTATGCCTGATTTACCAAAGTAAAACACTTGTGACTCAGTTTCTTTTATGAAAGGTGAATCTAAGGACTAATCCTGTAAAGTAACCTCATTTGTTTTTAATTCATGAAATTTTCTGTGTATATAATTTTGGAGGGAATGAGGTATAGTTTATACACTGCTTATTAAAGTCAGAATTTTCGGTTTAATTGTTCTTGAAATCTGAATTTCAGAAAGAACGACAAAAAACAGCAGGTGATGGCTGGTTTGGTATGAAAGCTCCAGAATTGACAGATGAACTTAAAAACGATCTCAAAGCACTGAAGATGAGAGCTAGTATGGACCCAAAAAGGTTTTATAAGAAAAATGATAGGGATGGCTTCCCCAAGTACTTCCAGGTATGAAACTATAATGGTGGTGATGTTTTGTGGATTTTAGTTTGGAGAGCACTATAGTTTTATGTTTACTCTGAACATGCGTGAATATTTATGATGCACATCTGCTTAGGCTGTGTAATAACGGTCGCAACCCATTTGGCAACCAGCTTGTAATGGCGTTCTCTAGAGAGAGAAGGTGTTGCAAATGGTCACAAAGTTTACAGGTCATATCTCTAAAAGTTACAGAACCTGTAAGTTGAGTGTATTCATGTAAAAATAGTATTAGCCTAACAGCAAGAATCCTTACAGGATAGAGGAGGAAATAGGGAATCATTTGCACCAAACTCTTCCTTCTCCAAGTAGAGGGTCATCTCCAGGCAAATGTTGAAAATAAGTTAAAAGTGTTTGCAGATGAAAATCCAGTTGATTCGCCCTCTGGTGGCTGTCAACTTCCGTCTGTTCTTGTTGACTACCTTTCCTGTGAGTCATGTGAATTACTACAGTAGTCCTCCTCTGGGTCTGCTGTCCCTTGCAGTCTGTCCTTCACATTGTAGCCAATCATCTGTTCTTTACCAAAAAAAAAAAAAAGGTGCTCTGTTCATGATACACCTCTGCTCAATGATATCACAGATCTCATGCAATGATACTTTCTATGTTTCTGTATGACATAGAGGATAGAGTCTTTACAATCTGCACTCAACTCAAACCTTTTGTTACATAGCCCTCTTAAGCTCCAACACACTCAGTCACTGTCTTTTCAGAATATGCACAGACTGGCCTTGGCATTCAGACTTTGCATGACATGCTTGGCTCTGCTGTGTTTGCTTGGTGGAATTTGTCCATACAAATCTAAGCTAAAATGTCATCCTTGTGAAACGGTGACTTCCATTAGGTAGAATTGGTCAACTTCTTTTTTCATGGCATCTACAGTGTTTTGTTCAGCATAATAATTATGTTATGCTTTAATCTTTTAGTTACCTGTCTATGGATTTTCCTTAAGCCTTTGGCTCTTTCCTGGCAGGAACCAGATGCTCTTTGTCGTTGTTTCCCGAACACTTGGCACAGTACTTGGCACATAGTAGATACAGTAAATTTTACTTAGTTGAATGTATGAACAAATGCAGAGTGGTTACTAAGAAGGGAGCATTTATGATAACCTATGAAATCAAATAGGTGTGTAGTAGAATTTGTCAATTTCACTGAGAAGCTAAAATGTGAAAGAGTTCATATTCTCTGTCCCACTTTTCTAGTTACACTGTTCATCAAGAATTTGCTCTAATGCCTAGCACTAAATTTCACAAAAGGATTTGTGGCTTTACTATAAATTCCAATGAAATGTCACTAGTAGGACCCAATGCCAATTGAATAGGGGACTTATTTTTGCTTTAAAAAATGGCAAAACTAACTTTAATATCAATATAATTTAAGTTGGGTTTTCCATTCCTTTCTATAAATACACTTTGTTAGAGCTACCCTGAAAAATGCAGGCAACTTAGCATTCAAGTATTATAGGACTTATGTCAATCATTTGCTCATAGATTGGAACCATTGTTGACAATCCAGCTGACTTCTACCATTCCCGAATTCCCAAAAAACAAAGGAAGAGAACTATTGTGGAAGAACTGCTGGCTGATTCTGAGTTCAGAAGGTAAAGGAATTTATGTTTCACTTTGAATTATATATGCTTCCCTTTAGAACATATATAAACTTAAATTTCAGGTAATTTTTAAATGCTTTAGCACAGCAGCACTATTTACATTTTGACGAGATAACTTATTTATTAGGGGGAACTGTCCTGTGCAGTGTAGAATGTTGGTTGTTTTTGTAGATTTTCTCTGTTCCTTCTTCTCTTGCTCTCTTCCCTTACGGTTTGATGGCTTTATTTAGTATTATGCTTGGATTCCTTTCTCTTTATTTTTGTGTATTATGGTTTTTTATTGTGGTCACCACTGGGTTCATATGTAACATCCTATGTGTGCAGCAGTCTATATTACTTTAATGTCACTGAAGTTCGAACACATTTGATTTGGTTTTGTTTCATTTTTAATGTAATCTTAGGTTTGTTAGAATGTGTGTAAATTGTGCTGCTGACTTCTTGGGAGATTTAGTGAGCTGTAAAATTGTAATGGGCTTAAATAGCTTCTGTTTTATTTTTTTAATGTTTATTTTTGAGAGAGTGTGCACACCAGGGAGGGGCAGAGAGAGAGGGAGACCAAGAATCCCAAGCAGGCTTCACTCTGCCAGCACTGAGCCTTACATGGGGCTCCAGCTCACGAACTGTGAGATCATGACTTGAGTGAATTAAAACAGAGTCGGACACCCAACTGACTGAGCCACCCAGGCGGCACACTCCCTGCCTTTTTTTTTTTTTTTAAATGTTTCTGTTTTAGAGAGAATATTAGCTAATCCTTAGCTCTAGTAATAACAGATTTATGTAACACCGTGAAAGTGGTCTAGAACAAAGAAATTTTATAGGTTAGAGGATTTTTACTTTTTCCTAATTAACTAATAAGTCCTCCTTTTGAACTTTTGTGTACTACATTTATCAGTATTTACTATAATGGCAATTAAAATTAAGAAACCTTAAAAATATTTATGAATTCCTTTAAAAATATCCCATTGCACATTAACAAATATTTTCATAAACAAAACCAATTTAGTGCAGATCTCTTTCATATCTGGCTTAAAGGTAGATAGAGCCTCATACTGCTTCTGCATTAGTCTGCTGCTGTTACATTTTCATCCTACAAAAATGTTTAAAGCCTCTGATACCATCTGGATAACTAGATACAGTGCATGGGTCTCCAGTGGCTTAAAGTTTTCAAAAGCCCTCCCTTACAGTAGCCATTTTTTCTCAATAGACTGCAGGCTCTGAGGGTAGGGACTGTGGTTGTCTTGTTCAGGGCTCAAGTCTCCCAGCTCCGGGTACAGCTTCATAATGGTGCAACTTATACAAACGTAATAAAACAGTGAGAGTGCAAAAAATGTTTTGAGGATTAGAAGTTATACCACCCCCATTACATTAACTTCTAATGTCATACTGTAGAACTTAAAGGTGTGGTTTTCTTTTTAGATATAACCGAAGGAAGTACTCAGAAATCATGGCTGAAAAAGCAGCAAATGCAGCAGGAAAGAAGTTTCGAAAGAAGAAGAAATTTCGCAATTAAGATTCACCAAGCAAGCCACGTATTTTACATTTCCCTTTGTTAACTCCAGATGTTTTTGAAAACTAACACCATCACACAAATTGATATAGACTGGCTCTGTCTGAAAGTTGACTTGAGGGAGAATCAATCACGTACCCCTTGGGATAAAAGCAAGTGTATCTACAAAAGACCCACCCATGCTTAGACTCTTTGAGGGAGAAAAAGGGAAACCTCAACCATTTTAAGATGATTAACATTTTTGTACAGTTTTCAACACTTATTTAAAGAAAGTTGAATTAAAAAACATTTAGAAAGTATAAAGTTTGTTAACATATACCAAAAAAAACTTTAAAATTACATAATAAAGCTAAACAGTGCTGCAATTCACACGTAGGGGTGTGTGTGCATGTGTAGTGGGGAGATGGTAGACAGGAAATGTCCTTTCCCAAGTTTAGGTCCAGAAAATTGGTAAAGCTAGAGATCTGCTTGTTGCAAGTATAAAAGTCATAGTTGGAACCAAAATATTCTTGGAGTTTGAAAGATAACTGAAAAACTAAATGAAACTATAAAAAAGACTTAAAAAGGTAATGAAGACTTCCCAGAAAGTCTGGGTTAAACGTAGAAGACGCAGAACTGCTTTCTTTCCCTAGCAACTAAAACAGGAGGAAAGATTGTATCCAGCTTTAGTGTTGTGTTCCAGGTGTACTAGGATTAAATCCATATAATTTTAACTTGGCCGTGAATAGTTTTAAAGTGGTTCCGTTTATCTCCTCCAATGGCAGGAGTATGCATCCTGGCTAACCTACTTGTGGCACCCAAGGAATGCTGGCCCTCTCTTATAACGCTTCTTAGTGGGTTCTTCCCTTTAATGTCATCATTTATGGAACCTCTGTTTTCCCAGCAAACTGCTCCTTGAGATTTCAGTAAATACAAAATCTCTTATTTTGTGTTTAATGCTTGGGATCATAACCAACCTAGTAATAGAACGGACACTGGCATTCATAGGTGGAGTTAGGCAAGTATCTCTTATCTGTTCTCCTTTACAGAAAAACTTTTATTCCAAGAATATTAAGTTTTGGTTTCCAGTGGGTAAAATAAGGACCCACTATGAGAGAATTAAATATCAAAACAAGAGGAAATAAATTAGTTTACCCTTTGCAGATTCTTCCAGAAGGAGTCGCTGTTCTCAGAACACTGCTTAAACTCATGCTACTTTGCTGTAAGAAGACTAAAAATTGTTAATCATTTGGTATGATGTCTGCACGGAGGGTTGAGGACTTGCCCAATGTTTTCTCAGGGCTGAGGTGTGGATCAGCTTCTTATCTACTCTATTCGTGATGGTTTCTGACTCATGAATCCCACGATAGGTTAAATTGTTTGGTACCTGAAAACTGCAGCTCTGCCAAGTATCTGTGACATTACAGTGCATATTACAAGGAAAACAAGATTAGTGACCTCTGATCTTTGCCACACAAAAAAGCATTAGAGCCTTCTGGGTTAGGAGGCAGTGGTGAGGAAAGAGAATTGAACCCAAGGGCCAAGTCCAGCTCAGTCCCTAAGCAACCTTAGAGGTGTTCCGAGTATTTACTTTTAGTTACATTTTAACATGCTCTCTTTTGTCTGGTCTCCATGGATTCATTTTTAGTTTTACTTCCATTATATGTACTTTTGTAAAGCCACTTAAATAACTTGGAACAAAAAGAAGAGTTTTTAACAATTCCAAAACACTTATTCAGTGAAATAAGCGATACAACTAAAAATCATTTAAGGTCACCTCTATTAACATGTATTGCAAGGAATTAAAACTGATCATATGTTATAGCTTCTTCATTTCAAATAGGATCTTAAATTTGTTTTAAACCTTCAAAACTAAAGAAAGATATCTCTTAAGTATAATTGTTAGGTAAAGGTCAGAAGGAAATCTTAGTGTTCCCAGCCTTCTACAAATATCTGTATAATGTATTTGTCCTTTGTTTTTAAGCAAAGCAGTTCTGTGGACAAAGAGGTTATAGTGATTTTTGCCTTGTGTCCCTGAACTCAGTTCACCTGAACTAAGGCTTAACGACTAAGAAAGTAGCTTGACTCCTCAGGTGAAAAGCATTACAAAGCATATAAGTGCCGACCCAGAGTGTGCTGATAAGAGGGACTTCAACATACTGTGAGACCTTGAAAGATGTCTGAAACGCCCCATCTTGTTGCACAGGCTTTTAAGACCGCTTTTTAAATTAATGCTTCTGACACAGCTCGTTTTTTTAAGTCAGGAAATTAGGAAGCAGAAAAGGAGGATGGTAGAAATCAGATGAAGCCAGGGTGAAGTTAGTAAACAGTTCAATGAAACTGTCACAGTTGGTAAAGGTGGGCCCTGAGCTCCCTAGTGTCTCACAGAAAAATCAGGTCTGTGTGCAGTATTGATATAAAAACTGCTTTAGGGAAAAATTTATTCCTTATTATTAAGACCTGAGAAACTGATGAGAGGCCATACTTGGCTGTTGCAGAGCCATGGCACAGTTTTAAAGGAAAAGGTGGGGAGAGGGGAGTTAAGGGCTACATAGAAAAGTTTAATAAAACCTTGAGTAACTTGGATAAATTTATGGGACCCCCACTCTTAGGAACAGTAAGTTACAAGAAAACAAAAAATGTTAATACCGTTTCTCAGGTATGTAGAGGTACTTTTTCCATTTGGTTTGTCCATCACAGACAACTACCGTCGCAGTAACAACCTAGAACATCTTATTGCAAGTTTTCAGGAAGGACTGAAACGAAACAATGCATTCTGATTAGCTGTTCCCCAAGCATCTGACCAATTAAAATGTAAGATGCAAGTCTTCTCATTATTAATAAGTTAAAAGTGAGGAAGAAAGCTTTCTAGTTTTAAAAGTGAAGGAATGCTTCCAGTTACTAAAATAGCAGGACCTATAATTAAATATCCTAGCAGATCAGTGTTCTAGCAAAGAAATTAAGCCTTAAAATGAGCTATGAGTTGTGAAGTTAGATAACAATGGAGAGGTCCTGAAGTGGAAAAACGTTATTAGTAAATACATCAACAGTGAGGAAGGCAAATCTATTTTAGGTACAGCTGATGGGTGGTGTATAGTATATGTTCCAGTTATCACTGCATAGCAAATTTTCCCCCAAAACTCAGTGACTCCAAACAACCCTGTGTTTTTATGTATCATGATTTGGTGGGTCAGGGGTTGGCTGAGTGATTTGTGCTCCACATGCTATTCAGATGAGGTCACTCAGTGGTATTCAGCTAGTAGCTGAGTAGATCTGGATGCGGTTCAAGACACTTCTCTAACGTGTTAGCTAGGATGCTGTAATGTTCTCTTTTGGGTTCGACACATAGTGTATAGGAAATTCTACTTCCCACCTGCCTCCTTCCTACTCACCCCTCCAGAGGAGAAAGGAGTTGCTAACTAGATTGAAGTGAACCCAAGATACTGGGCTATATCTTTACAAATGAAGAGAGTGGCTGTATTAACAGGTCCGAAAACATATGCAGTCAGTCTTGCCCTGTCAGGATGCAGGTCTGTCATCCTCTCTTCCAAAGAAGGTGGGGAACTGGAGTCAGGGCTTTTCCCAAGAGAATACCATGAGAATCTTAGTTACCATATCCAATGAAGAATATTAAAAATGATGAAGAGGTGCTCTCTTCGACCTTTTTTATGGTAGGAAAAAACTACGTGCTCGTAGTCAACCAAGGGAAAAGAAATGTATGAAGTTTTGTTCAGTCTCCTCTCCTACACCTATCCTCCACCCTCCATAACTCACGAAGTTCAGAGGAATAACATAGTAAGGGAAAAGAATTCAAAAAAAGACACACATTGTGGTTAACTAGACTTTCTTGATCTTAAGTGTATTATCAGCAAGACATTTTTCCCTTAAGTGTATGTATGTGTGTATGTACTCACATTTATACACATACACATTGCCAAAATAGCAATGAACGTTGAGAAGAACAAGTCCTAGCTTAATTCTGGAATATGAAGCTCATCAAAACCTTGGCTAATTTATCTAATATCTGCCCTTCCGGCCAAATCTGCCACTTCTGACTTCAACTCGGGTGCCTTGATGTAGAGGGGAGTTAAATTTTTAAGGAACTGTTTATATATGTATGTACATACAAAAACATAATAATTTAGATAACCTCAGGTAAGCCCATAAAGTAGATGCTACTATTATCCTCTTATATAAGTTAAGAAATAGGCCCAGAGAGCTGAAGTAACCTGCCTAAGGTCACAGAGCTAGGAAGTATAACTCTTGTCGCCTTTGTATTTTAACCTTACGCTGTATCTGCATACCTGTTTCCATATCACAACAGAATCTGCTGAGCTTTTTTCCTTTCTTTACCAGTTACAAAACACATACTTCTTAGCTGAGACTGTGGCTACCTGGGGCAGGGGTGGGGAGATGGGGGGACAACTATGATTCTCACCTTTCTATGGGATGTGAGTGAAAGCAGTATGTTTAACTTCTGGGAAGTGTCCCTGAGATGAGCTTTGAATGACTCTCTCTATTTTCTCCCCCACTAACCAGTATGTTGACCTGATGGCAGGAGAGGAGCAATCTTCTCAGAACATCAGGAGGAGGCTGCATTTTAAGGTGAAAGAATAAAAAGGAGTCTGGGTCTCTCTTGATCAAATAGCTACCATTGCCTGATCTTTCACATGAGGAAGAAACCTCTGTCTTGCCAAATGCATTGTTACTTTGAGTTTCCTGCCACTCACAGCGAAAGCCAATCCTAATTAGCGGGACTATTGATCCATGGCTCCCAAGATCCATGGCTCTTGGAGTGAACTCCAAGAAAATGCACTCTATCTCACTCACCTGTGTAGTTCTTTCCTCCGTGGTGGTTTGACCTGAGCTAGTACTCAAAAATATATATGAAATGGAGGATGAATGAGATTGTAAAATATTTCTTAAATGCTGATGGATGGAGAAGACCCCAGATCAGGAGGAAGCTGAATGATAACACTCCTGGCCTCTGGTCTTTCTGGTCTGTACGGACCACAGGCAGCAGTAAGACGGGAGGCGTCTCCACCCCTTCAGGCAACTCTCTCCTCGTCCATACCTTCCTGGAGCCCTGGGTGTGGGGCAGAGCTGTTACAGAACACAAAGAAGACAGGTCTTCAAAAATGCACACCTTCAATTTTCCCTTGACCTTCATGCTTGTATCCCTGCACTCTTCCTACCTGCCTCAGAAGAGCAGATATTTTCCCATCATCTCTAGGCTACTCTTTTCCTCTTACTCTTGTCACATCTTGCATCTTAATTTTCTCATCTGTAAAACGGGGATAATTATTACTTATTAGGATCTGGGGAATAACTGAATGGCAAAGCCTAAGTAAACTGGTGGGCATAAGCAGTTGTTTAGAAAACTGTTAGACGTTTTCCTTTTCCTCGGGACTCCCTTCTCTAGAGAGGCACCTTGCTTCATCAGTTCTTGGAGAGAATACGTCCTAGCTTTCTTCGACTCTGAGAAACTCATTCTTTGCCTATCTGTGTTCTGGGTTTCTCCCCAAACCACCTCCCTACTTTCAGCCTCCATCCTTTTCTTACCTGGACAACTCTTAAGTGTCCTGAAGTGGGCTTCCCGCACTGTTCCAGCCAGGTATCCACGCTACAGCCACAGTGGGGACCGAAAGCACACATCGAATAGTCACATAGCTTCCCACCTAAAAAGCTGTTCAGTGCTTTCCCACTACCTTTTGGGTCAAGTCCACAGTCCTTAACATGTTGTACAAGACCTTCAGGACACAGTACCTGCTGGAATCACTGCAAAGAGATACTTTGTTTGTTTACATGTTTTTCCACTCTTAACAGGAGGAGCTCCTAAACAGCATACTTATGGCTGAGATCCAGCATATAGTAAAATGTGAGTAGTCAATAAGTGTTGAATGTAGTTCAGAAAATCTTTAATGGATAAGCAGTATCAAGGCTGCCCACGTGAAAGTGATGTAAGAACAAATGGGTTTTTCCCCTTCATTAACATTAGGTTTTGTTTTTGTTCCTTTGCTTTACCCTTTCAAAACTTAACTTTTTCTATTACATGAATAAGATAGACTTCATATGAAAAATTTCCAACATTACAATGAGATATAAAGAAGGCCCACCCCCCTTCATATCACTGTTCCTCCTGCCCCAGCATTGTTAACTACAGATGATTACAGAAATTTTCTATGCACAATCATAGAAATACACATTATTACTATTATTATTAGCATTATTTAGCACAAGAGAATCCTATTATTCTCATTTTCACATCGGCTTTTTTTGTTATCTTGGATATTTTTCCATAGCACTTTATATAAATCTTCCTCATTTTTTAAAGGTCTGTGTTGTATTCAGTTATATGGCTCTACTATATTTTCTTCAAACAGTTCAATTGTTTTTTTTAATTTTTGAAGTACAGTTGGCATACCTTAGTTTCAGGTGTACAATAGAGCGATTTGACAATTCAATACTTTAAGCAGTACTCACCATGGTAAGTGTAGTTACCGTCTGTCACCATACAAAGTTATGACAATCTTGACTATATTTCTTGTGCTGTACTTTTCATCCCTGTGACTTATTTTATAGCTGCAGTTGGAACGTCTTAACCTCCTTTTCCTGTTTATCGCCCATCCTCCCTCCCTCAGCAACCACCAGTTTGTTCTGTGTGTTTAGGAGTCTGTTTCTGTTTGTTTTCAAACACTTCACTATTGATAGACATCTAGGTTATTTCCAGTTTGGGGCCATGCTAAATAAGACTGCATTTATGATAGAGATATAACTGTCAATCTTTCTAAATATCCAAAAATTACAAAATATTAGAATACCAAAATAGATATATATCACAACCAAGTAGGATTCACTTCAGGAATGCAAGAAGGGTTGGATATTAGAAAATCTCTTAATATACAGCAAAATATTAATAGATCAAAGGAGAAAAACCTCCATAGATTACTGACAACTAGGGATAGTTTCTTAATGTGATAAAGGGTGTGTGTGTGTGTACATGTATGCACGTGTGCACACCAACCCCAAAAGCTGGCATCATGTGTAGTGGAGAAGCATTTCTGTAATGATGGGAAATAGGACAACTCGGTCCACTGTCACCATGATCACAAAAGCGAACATTTTCTGGAGATGCTATTGCAAGAGAAATAGTAATGAGGCATACAAATTAGAAAAAAAAGACAATACTATAATTATTTATGGGTGATAGATTTCCAAAATACACAATATAGTTAACTGAAAAAAACTTCCTTTTAAAAAACTGAGAGATAATTCACATACTATAACATTCACCCCTTTAAAATGTGCAGTTCACTGGGATTTTGTATATTCAGAGTTGAGCAGTTATCACCACTCATTCCAGAACATTTTCATCACTCCAAAAAAATCCCATTAAATCCCCATTAGCAGTCACCTCATAGTCCCCTTATCCCCAGCACTTAGCAACAACGAATTTACTTTCTGTCTCAATAGATTTGCCTATTTAGAATATTTTATTTAAACGGAATCATATAATACGTGGTCTTATATGTCTGGCTTCTCTTACTTGGCAGAATGTTTTCAAGGTTTATCCATGTTGCAAAATGAATCAGTATTTCATTCCTTTTTATTGCTGGACAATATTCCACTGTATGGATAATACTACATTTTGTTTATCTACTCATCATCACTTGAGGGGTATTTGGGTTGTTTCTACTTTCTGTCTATTAAGCATGATGCTGCTATGAACAATCATGTACAAATGTTTGTGTTAACACAGGCTTTCACTTCTCCTGGGTGTATACCTAGGAGTGAAATTGCTAGGTTATATAGTAACTCTGTACAAAGTTTTGACTAATTGTCAGACTTTCTCCCAAAAAGACTGCACCATTTTATATCCCCACTTGCCCACATCCTTGCCAATGCATGTTATTGTCTTTTTTATTCCAGGCACCCTAGTGGATGTGAAGTAGTACCCATTGGTTTGGAACTTAAAAGCCATTTTAAATAGCAAAACAGTTCAATTAAGACGGCTGTATATAAATTTATTATTTAAAATATCAAAAGCCTTATATACAAACCGTAATCACTTAGAAAATATAATGGAAGAAAAGATCCCAACAAAAAAGATAAATTAGGAATAAAGTTAACAAATAATTCAAGATTATAATAGAAAACTCTAACATAATCCTGAAAAGCATAGAAAGACTTAACAAATGGAAAGGCAGAGGTGTTCTTTTTCCCTCCTTGCTGCTCTTAAATAGTAAGATTCAACATAATTAGTTCAATTTTCCTATATTAATCTATATATAACATGACTCCAGTACAAATATCTCCTAAGATTAGAACCAGACTACCTGTTACTAAAGCTCATGTGAAAAGGCAATACTGAATTATGGTTTTACCCAAAGACCCAGCCTTCCTGGGTTCCCATCCTGGCATACTGCTTATTATTGGCTGTGTATTCCTGGACAAGTTCCTTAACCTCTCTGTTTCAGATGCCCCGTCCATGAAAGGGGATTATATCTACCTGGTAGAGTTGTCAGGAGGATTAAATGCCTTAAAAATGCATAAAGCACTTAGAATAGTACCTGGTATATAATAAATGCTAAATAACTGCTAGTTATTAACATTATGTGGGAAAAACAATTCAAGAATAGCCAAGGCAAAAAATCATCCAAAAAAAGTTATGAGAAAGGATTGGCCCCACTAGACATAAAACAGCACACTTCTGGTGAATCAGAATTAAGACAGATCAATGGAACAGAATAGAGAATCCAAACACCCAAATGTAAATGGAAATTTAGAAAATAATAAAAATAGGCATTTCAAATAAGTGAATATAGGAAAGGAGGGTTAGGGTGTTCATCACCAGTGATTCTGAGACCAAATTCCCACTTTCCCCTTATACAAAAGTATATTCTGGATGACATAAAAATTTAAGTATAAAAATAAAACCATATAAAGCATTAAAATAAAGCATGATGAAATTATTTAGGATTCGGAGTGCAGTATAACCCCAAACCTACAAGCCATAAAGGAAAAGATTGATAAATCCAAATATACGAATTTCTGTAAGGCAATAAAATAAAATGCCATATAGGAAATCAAAAGACAAATCAATTGAGAAGGAATAATTGTAACACATATAAACAAAGGACTGGTTTCCAGAACATATAATAAGGACTCCCACAAACCAGTAAGAAAATGACCAATTATGCAAATAGAAAAATGAACAAAACTGAACAGATAAATCACACACAAAAAAACCCAAATTATTCCCCATGTGAAAAAATGCCCAGCTTTCCCTCATGATGAAAGACATGAATTGACACTACAACTAGAAACCATTTTTCTCCTGTTTGATAACACATGGGCTGTGAGGAAATGGGCACTCACACACACTGCTGGTGAGAGTAAAATGGGTACAATCTCTAGGAGAGCGATTTGGCAGTATCTACCAAAGAACGCACAAACAAACCTTTGACCCAGCAATCCAACTTCCTAGGAATCTATCCTATAGATATACTTGCACTCATCTACAGTAATGTAAAAACAAGCTGTTCACTGAAACATTTCCACAGTAAAATCATTACAACACATACGTACAATGGAACAAGGCAGGCCCACCTATATTAATAAGTGAAAGAGCAAGTATAGCACACTACCAACTGGGAATCACCTATATCAACATCATCATCAAAGACAACAGGTATAAAATTGACATGTGCATAAAATAAATCTGAAAATATTTCCAAAAAACCGTTTTCACTAATAGCTTATAAAGAGAATTGAAAGGATAAGCTATAGGAACAATAATGCTTACTTTCCTCTGTACCTTTTTCAAAACAATTTTGGAATTTTTATTTTTTGCATCATGTTTGTTACAATTAATTCTGAAAAGTCCATTCACTTGATTGATTCGCATTTAGTGAGGTGGAACCCTGATCCCACGCAAACCTAGGAGTTGTCAGGAGAAGAGTACAAGATAGCAGTCACTGCCTGGGGGAGCTGACGGGCAGAACCGACCTGGGACCTCTTGGCCCTGGAATCCCGGGGGAGAGGAGCGGGCGTTCTCACCAGAAATGCAGATTCCTGGCCCCATCCCCAATCGACTCCATCCGAGGCCCTCCGTGACGCCCAGAAATCTGCATTTCTGACCCCATCTGGGATTCTGGTACGTGACAGTTTTGAAGCCTTCGGGGCTGGAAGGGCGGTTGGCCTGCACAGCACAGGTCACGGTGTAGGCGTATTTTCTCATCCTTCCCGCGCCTTCCCTAGTGGTCACCGCCGCGCTAGAGAGTGGGGGCAGCTCCTCCGGAACACCCGCGGTCCGGGCCAGCTTTGGCCCGAAACGGCGAGGCCTCGTTTGGCCGCCGCCCGGAGGCATTCCTCCCAGTTCCTGAATCGGGCTCCGCTGTCCGCTGGGCCCAGTATCCCGAGCCACGGAGCTAAGGAAGGGGGCGGGGGGGCGAGCGCAGCCGCGCGAGCGGCTAGGTGGAACGGCCATAGAAGTCCAATGCAGAAGGACAAAGGGCAGAGAAACAGAGGCAAGTTCAACTGTTTAGGGAAAAAAAAGGAAAGAAACGATGAGGTCAGAAAATAATTTCTGCGGGGGGTCGGGAAAAACTGCGACTCCGCCGGGACTCGAACCCGGAACCTTTGAATGCCTTCAGCCTCTAGAAGTCCAATGCGCTATCCATTGCGCCACGGAGCCACCTGTTGGAGTCCTCGCGCATCTGCTGTGTTAAGCCAGAGGCGACGGCCCCGCGCCCTTCCCACCGCCCCCTGAGCCGTCCCCCCAGCCACCCGTCTGTGACGCCGAGACCACAGCATTGCTAGTCTGAGTAACAAGCCACCAAACAACGAGCCGAAGGCGCCCGCCCTTCCCCAGCGGCCGCCTCTCTTGAGGTCGGCGAGCCCCGCGACTCCGCCGGGCCCCAGCCGATCGGTCCGAGGGCTGCCAGAGCCGGGTTCCGGGCCTACCCGCGGCGCCGCCGTACCCGGCCGCGCAGGACAAATCACGCCCTCGCTCTTCCTCCCCAGTCCCTTCCCGCCCCGAGCGCCCCCGCCTACCGGGTCCCTCCGGCGGCCGGTCCCGCCCCGCCCTGGCCCCGGCGATACGGAACCAGGCCGGCCGTTGCGCCGTTAAGCCCGGCCGGTAACGCCGGGAACTTACGTCGCACCGTTTAGCAGCCGATCTCGAGCGGCGGCCCCTCCCGGGTCCCTGGCTCTTCCCCGGCGGGCCGCCGCGACGTCTGTGTGCGTGCTTGTGCGTGTTTTATTTGCGCAGGGTTCGGTAAAACGGGGTTTGGGTTGCATTTCGCTCCCCACAGACCCAGAGCCGAATTTCGGAGGTATCCGGGCTCTGGTGGACTGAGGGGGGCGACGCGCCCCTCGCCTGGCATCCTCCAAGAGCTCGTCCGAGGGCCGGGAGCTGCCTCCGTGGGCGCCGCTCAGCCGCCCCCAGCCCGCGCCCCGAGACCACGCGGCTGAGTGGGCGGCAGCCGTGAGGGTGGCTGCGCTCGTGGAACCGCCAGGAGCATGCGTGTGCGGGTGCGCGCGGCTGAAGGGCGCGCGCCCGAGCGCGGCCGCAGGGTTTCCCGGGGACGGCGGGAGGCGGCCGAGCCAGAGGCTCCTCGGAATGGCGTGGTGGCCACGAATCAGGTGGGTGATTGGGGGGCGGTGGCGGTCTTCAGTGCCCCAGTAATCCCCCACAGCGCGACCCCGAAGCCACTTGAAATAGACAGTCTAAGTTAATACGGCGTGGTTGCTGTGCAACCGCTGCAGACAAAACCCTCTGCCTCCTATCAGTTTGCGGCTTTCCGAGCCCCGCCCACGTGGAAATTTCGGCTCTACAGCTGTGCGCTCTCCTCAGGTCGGTCCACGGCCCACTGTTGCACCAAACCACCATCAGCCACAGACCACGCCATGGCTCAGGCCAATCGTCCCTGCCTAGCATCATCAGGCATCAAAGCAGAGTAGTGTCTGTCAGTGTTCTAAAGAGGGGAAGGGAGCTCCTAGGGAGAGTGTGGTGTGGTTGGGATCTTTCCATTCTTATTTAACTCCACAACAGTGCTATGAGGCAGGTACTATTGTCCCCTTCAGAAAGAAGGGACACTGCAACTAAGGTTAAATTAATTGTGTAGGGACACTCAGCTAATAAGTATCAAGAACTGTGAAGAATCTGAGATTTTACCCTTCTTGCAGGCTAACATGTTAGCTGGTCACAGGTTCACGGATGCTGACAGAGCACACGAGAGTACTGGGTCGGAAATGAAAGATTGTTACAGCAAAAGCAGTAGCCACAGTGTCAACATATTTGTGTTCGGTTCCTGAACCCCAGTTCTCACCGGAATGAAGCAGATGGGCCCAGACGGATGCTTGCACACAAAATGGATTGCATTACAGCAGAGAAATGCTAAACTTGGGGAACAACCCACCATTTAATAGCAGGCAGTAAGCAAGACTGCTCTTGGTCCCACGAGGAGACACCCTCAAGGTTGCTCACTGCCAGCACAACCCTGAGACATGGCCCAAGTGAACAGGGTGTTTGCATTCTTAGCATTACCTGGCAAGAGCCTGCAAGGATGCTGAGCGCCCATGGTGGCCTGTCTCACCAAACAGTAAGTGGCAGAACCCGGATTGCTGTCAGGCCTGTTTCATTCCATCAAAATGTAAGTAACATTCCTTGACAACAAGAATTTTTTTTTTTTATGTATAACATTGTTATGCCCCCTTTAATAAAGATTAATGAAATAAAATACGTCCTTGCAGACATCAGGGAATTCTTGCATGTGCAAAATTAGCCTGTAAAATGGAATATTACTTTAAATCATATTTACATAATTCTTATTGAACTCTGCAATGTACTGACACTTGCGGCATCTCAGAATCTTCACTGGTTCTTGGAGTTGAACATGGAGGAACGGAGGAAGAGACAGATGTTCAGTGCCCCTGTGGGAACACCGTGCAGAGGAATTTTGTCCCGAGGTGTTGGTGCCAACTCTCAAATGATGAGTCATTGACATAACTAAGTAACAACTCAGGCTCATATATAAAAGTTCTGCATAGGGAACACTGGGAAAGAGACAGGTGCTAGAGAAGGAAGTGTGTGTTCCTAATTCCACTTGATGAATCAAACAAAGAATTTTAGATATTTGATTCCTTTTACTAGCTGAGGCCAAAGCTCCTCCTGTCATGGAAAACATTACCAAGATACAGGGTTAGCAGACAGTGTGGAAAACGAGGCTTGTAACAAACTCCACTAGCAATCAAGGTTGTACTTTTTACCCCCTACAATGAGAAGACTGGGAAAGCCACAAAGGAACAAGTTCCATGTGTGTTCTATGACAATTAATAAGCGCTTTATAGTGAATCTAGCTTCAGAGACAGCAATGTTAGCATGTAAAGGGAATGTAAATGTGTATTTAGTTGCCATCTGAGAAGAAAGATTCAGTCGGTTTTAAGGTCTTAAACCTTTCCTAACCCTAAGAGATGAATTTTTTTCGAGAGGTACATACAGTAAACAGCAGCCATTATGAAACCTGAACCAAGAATTACTCCAAGTGAAAAAAATTACCCCTTCCTTCCTGCCGACAGAGGGAGCCAAAGCACGAACTGTAACCACCTCCAAGCAGGCTGATAGCGCCAGCTGCAATTTGAGTTTCCTGAACAGCAAAGCCCTAAATTAAATACAACTTCATTTTGCTGTTTTAAAGTTCACATCCATTATTCACCCCTGGGAGTCTGCAATAACACATTTCATGTTTGTACAGCAGAATTATTTTTAAGTTACTATGTTGCTCTATTTTCAGTGCTTAGGAGCAGCTCCAGCCTCCCCCAGAAGGCCTAGAAATCTATACTGTTCTGTATTTTCACTAGCTTTGCTTTGCTTCAGAAGGAGGAGGTCACTGGAGGACGGGCTTAACTCAGTTCACTGAGTAGTTAGGGAGTATATATTTGGGCCTCCTGTGGGAGACAGAGTAGAAGTCTAAGACATAGTCCATGGAGACTTCCAATTCCTTGGGAGAAACATGAGCAGTTGAAAATGAAGCAATACACAAATAATGCCGTACAGCGAATGAAAACAAATGGCAAAGTGTGATGGGCACCCCAGCCAGTGTAAGTGTTTTGAGTTTGCACTCCCAAGTGATAAGTATGTACTACTGTATTAATTATAAGCATACCCCCAAAAGAAGTTTTAAAAGGATGAGATTTTTTTTACAACAAAGATGCTGAGGTTTGGAGCTCAGACTGCAGAGTCACACTCCTGGTGTTCACATCCTGGCTCTGACTCTGATTTGAAAGACGTAATCCTCAACTTCCTAAAGCCTTTCTTTCCTCCTCTGAAAAATCCCGAAGTTGTTTTGAGGATTGCAGAAATTAATCCTTGCAAGGGTTTATCTTAGGGCTGGTGGACGGTAAATGTGGAACAAGTGTTTGCTGTTATTAGTAGCAAGCAACTCTCAATTTAAAAACAAAAAGCCACATCCTGCAGGAACAAACCAAAGTTCAGATACAGCATCAGCTAAATTTGTTGCAACCCTGAGACATTGTCCACCTCCCTACCCGGCTCCTACTGGACCATCAACAGCATGTCTGTTACCAAACAGAACACTCAGCTTCTCATACTGAAAGCTGGAAACATTTACCTTCAGCTTCATGATTTCCTCAGTTTTGTCTCAAAGAACTTGGGTGGGTTCTTATTTTCACTTGTGGAAGCCCACGGTGTTCCAAAATGAAAACTTTTTGCCAGTAAAATCAACATTTAAATGATGGCCCTTTTCATCCTAAAAAATTTTAGCACTGAATTATTAGCCAGACCAATAACCAAACTACATAGGTGGCAAGATGGGAATAAGGAAAGGAAAAGAAAATTTTCTAGGATGAAGAAATATAGGCATTAAGATAGAGAAGAGGGACGAATAGGCCCTTACAGAAGTACTGTTGGGGGGTTGAGGAGTTAAATGTGTTGGGAGATTAGGTTGGACAGGGACAGGTAGGACTGAGGCCAGCTGGGGCAAAGTGGCCTCTGCAGGCCTGATTCAGGATGAGGAAGGTGGATGTAATGCTACAGGCAATTGGAAGCTACTAGATTCTTCTGGTATGTGCTTTAGAATGACTGTGCTTTAGAAAATGATTAATTTAGGAGGTGGCATGCAGGCTGAGTGGGGTGGGGCCCAAGGGTCAGAGAGACCACTCAATTTCATTAAATGTGTACTTGGTCTTTTCCTATGCTTCCTCATCTCTCCAGCAAACGATGATTGAGGGTCTACATGAGATACAAAGAAAAAGACAGATGCCTGGTTTATAAGCCTAATGGAAGTGAACACAGGTACACAGCCAACTGTGATGCTGAGTCAAGAGGTCTCCAGGTGAGGTACAGGTGGAAGGGGACTTGAGGGGAGAGAGAGGGAGAGGGAATTAGAGAGGAAGGCCGCATATGAAAAGACTCTCCAACCTAAGGCCAGTTTGTGTGCAGGGATCCCGGCAGGGATTAGCATACAGCCTGGGGGATAGGAGGAGGAAGAGCAGACAGTCTGGGAAAATGGTAGAGGCTGAGAAGTCCAATGCATGGCATAAAAAAGGGTCTAGCTATCTTGGCCTTGGGTGGAGCTAACTTGGCCTTGGTGCTGGTAGAGTAGGTCACTGGGGTTCAGGGAGCTAGTGACAAAGTCAGGTATGGGTCAGTTCCATTGTTCTGTGCCATCAGCCAGTCAAGAAAACAAAGAATACCCAGCTGAGGATAAATGGAACATGATCCAAAGGAAAGGGCTTGGGAAGAGCAGGTTGAAAATCTCAGACTAGTAGGCTGGTGTTCGGGGGAGGGGTGTCTATTCTAGTCACAGAGGGGAAACTGAGGTAGAACCAGGTATTCGCGTTCTGAGGGAGTCAGTGCTAGTTCTGGACCTTGTGGCTGGGTTGACTGGGTTGCTGAGCAGGCTTCCAGAGTAGAGCTCAGGAAGGATGTAGGACCATCCTGTAGGTGGCAGTCACTATCTGCTGTCGAGATGGCTGGACAAAGGCCAAGCCAGACGGGAGTCTGAGTCTTGTCAGGCTTTGTGCCTGCAGACAGCACATTTACTCCTTTACGCATTGAGCATGGCTAAATGCCAGCTTCCGCACTAGTATTTTTTTTTTTCAGCTCCTCAGGTGATTGTCCTATGCAGCCAAGTATGAGAACAAATGCTTTCTGCCCATTCCTACTACAGTGGTGACCATGGCCCAGGAGCATCAGCAGACCCTGTGAGCTGGATAGAGAGGCGGGGTCTCAGACCTCCCCCACACCTGATGAATCAGAATCTGCATTTTTTTTTCCTTCAGGGCAGATGGAGTGTAGCATTTTAACAAGGGTGCAAAGAAGGCTCACAGAATGCACTATGTGGCTTGGGGTATGTGTGGGGGTAGTTTGTGGGGCAAGGGGAGGATGAACTGGGGTGGGTGGAGCCAGAATCTGCATTTGAATAAGATCCGCCAGGTGATCCATTTGCATTAAAGTTTGAAAAGCACTGGTTTGGGATTTAGGTATTCAGACTCTCACTAGTCCACTTCGGCTTCTGTTACCAGCATCAATTTAAATCCTCAAGGAGATCTCAAAACTACGTCAGAAAGCTCAGGATCGATCTGATTTATTGGCCCTAAACATTAGCTCAGAGGATATTATGCCCCTTTACTTCCCACTGCGTGGGGAATTGGGGAAGGAAAGGTATGTTGGTGATGACATCCAGTAGAACCTAGGTCAAGTCCATTCCAGAACAGGCAGAAGAATCACTGTAGGGTTCCTTTCTCCTGAGTCAGACTGAGGGACAAGGCTGATGAGTGAGAAGGAAATCTTCCAGGTAGAGGTGTCCAAGCTTTTAGGGTCTCAGCTCTTTCCCCACGAGATGTCTGTCACAGACCCACAAGTGACCCCAACAACCCTCTGTCTCAGTGGAGCTCTTGTTATTTGTCATTAAATTTCTGATTCTAATGAGAAACATTGTTATTTATTTATTTTTGTTTGAGAGAGAGAGAGAGCATGCGACAAGTAGAGGGCAGAGCTGGGGAGAGAGAATCTCAAGGAGGCTCCATCATCAGCAGAGAGCCTGAGGCTCTATCCCATGACCGGGGGATCATGACGTGCGCCAAAATCAAGAGCTGGATGCTCAATTGACTGAGCTACCCAGGCACCCCATATTGTCCACATTTTAGTTACTTCATTTATTTGTCATTGCTTTAGAATGCCATTTTCTTCACCTTGTCTCCACCAAGTTCTCAAAACTGCCTCACAGAGTGTGTAAGAAGAACATTTTTGTAGGCAAAGGTAGTTTTTAAGCCCTCATCATCCCCCACCCTATGCTCATATAATCTCATCATTAAACCTGAGACCCCTGTCAGCAGGACAGCCTGGCTCATCTCTGCAGGTCAGTGGGAGGAGGAGAAAGCCTGAGAGGCTTGACCAAATGAGGCAGTGTGGCCTAGTGGGCTTTGGAGACAGTTGTATAACCCTAGGAAATTACCTCTCTGAATTTTCACACTTCAAAGATGGAGAAAATTCTATTTCACAAGACTGTCATGGGAATTAACTGAACTTCTAACACAGTGACATGACATTAAGGGATATAATAATTGTCTCTTGGGGTTCGTGGGTAGCTCAGTTGGTTGAGCATCCAACTCTCGATTTTGGCTCAGGTCATGATCTCAGGGTTGTGGAATCAAGCTCCATGTTGAGCTCTATGCTGAGCATGGAGCCTGCTTGAGATTCTCTCTTTCCCTCTGCCCTTCTTCTCCACTTATGCTCTCTCTCTAAAATTTAAAAAAAAAAAAAAAGCCAACAAAAACAACATATTACCCTAGAGCTTAGCAGCCTAAAACAATAAAAAAATTATTACCTCACAATTTCTGTGGGTCAAGGAGCATATGCCGAGTGGTTCACACTCAGGGTCTCTCATGAGGTTATTTGAGGTTGTAATTATCTGAAGGTGTGACTGGGGCTGGAAAATCTGCTTCCAAGATGAACCACTCCTGTGGCTGTTGACAGGAGGCCTCAGTTCTTGGCCACAGACTTCTCCACAGGGCTGCATCCCCGAGTGAGTAGTGAGAGAGAGAGAGAGAGAGAGAGAGAGGTGTAAACCACATGTCTTTTATGATGTAGCCTCAGAGGTCACATACCATCACTTCCACTGTATTTTACTGCTCACACAGACCATCTCTAATACAGTGTGGGAGGAGACTACTGAGCGGTGTGAATACCAGGAGGTGGGAATAGTGGGGTCCATCTCAGAAGTTGGCTTCCCCAGCGTCTAGAATATTAATTCTTGCCTCTTTTTAACATGACAGCCATATTCTTGCTCTTCTACTTCAATCAACAAAAGGAAGACAGTTAAAATGATTCACCTTTGTTCTCACACTAAATTACTTTGGAAGCTTCCACCCTCACATCAGATCTACAGCCATGACTCAGAAATTTGGGACTAGGTTCATAATTTGTCCCAGTTCATCTGAAGGCTATGGAGGCACACAGGGATGTTCCTTGTTTTACTTTTCTTTGGTCCTCTCCCACTTTCCCCTTGAAATGATTTGTTCTAGGCATTTTATTATATTCTCAAGATGTCAGGTAGACAATCTCAAGCAATAGCAAGTATGCTGGCTGAATTTCCCTCCTTGTTCTGGAATATTTGCTCTTGAATGCAAATGATTTACTTTTGGATCCTTGACTCTGTGATTGTAAAACTGAATTCATTTTTATAGTGGTGGGGTCACCATGACTTTTTTCTCAGCTCTTCAGAAGCAGACTTTAAATTCCCAGAAAGGAAAGGGCTAATGAACACTAGCAAATTGGAGGCACAAAGGGATAAAGAGAAGGGCAGCTATTCCCCTCTGTTTTTCTGGGTAATCCTACCTAGTAGCCAAAGGTTTGTCGTTTTTAAGCCTGTGGAAAATAATAATGATAAATAGAAAGACCTCCAGGATATTGTTATAACAGATTCCATGTGAGAGCCTTGAACATGACTCATGCAGGTGTTGAATAAATGGATGCATGGATGGATGGATGGATGGGTGGGTTAATTCTTCAGGTATAATAGGACCAGAGCTGATACCCAGCTGGTAGTGCCTGTATGGAGTAAAGGTCAGGGTCTGTTCCTTTGGTCAAGCCTCCAGTCAGCTGGGCTGGCACTCATTATACGCTGGTCATTACAGATAGCACCTAGCCTGGGAGAATGTGGCTCCATGTTGCAAAGTGGGTTACAAAGAAATGTCTAGAACCTGAATGATGTGGCTGACTCATGGGGTTGGTTAGAACCTGATTGGGAATCTGGAAGGAGCAGGACCTGATGGTCTCAGAGCTGCAACAAGATGGATCTTGAAGCAGATGTCAGAATTCAAAGTAAATCAAACTGAGAATGAATGAATATAGCTGTCAGCTAAATCTGGGGGTGAAACCTGGGAGCAACAAAGGAATACAAAGGGAGGAGAGACTAGGCACAAGGGCTAGGTGAACAGAGGCTCACCTAGTTGATAGGAATGAAAAGAGAGCCAGAGGAAAAGGTGTATTAAGTTCATCTCTAGGTGACAGAAAATCAAGGCAACAGAGGTTTAAGTGAACTAGAACTTTATTAAGTTGTAGGTAGAGAAATCCGGAAGAGAGCTGTCCATAGCTGATATGGCAGTTTGGGGATCATCA